ATGTTTGTTTTATATTCGCTAACGTCATGTTTCCTTTTACATCACTTGTGAATTTTTGACTGGATACCTTTTGTAGTACATGGTTATCAAAAATTGTATCATATCAAATAATGGGAGACCTTTGGTATTAATGGTTATCCTTCGCATCATCATAATTATTTTTGTCTAAGTATAGTCTGTTTCAATATTTATCTTGCTGGCTTTTGCCCGCACTTACGAAAGTTACCTGCTGAGGGCAATAAACCTTGGTCCGGTAGGTACTAAAGGACAGAATATTTTTTTTTATTTATTAAATTAAACTAAGAAAAAACAATGACAAACAACAAATTCATAGCTAGGAATATCTATACATTTTTATTCGAAATGTCTAAATCTATTTCTGCTCCACTATCAGAGTTGTCATTGAGATTAATTATAATAGGATTTATGTTGTTTTGTATAGAAATATAAGAGTCCTCAATTTTTATAATGTGCTGTACTAAATTGTTTCAGCTCTCAATTGGTATGTTATTAATTACATTTTTTTATCAAATTTATGACACTGGGACCTAAACTAGGAGTAACATTTTCTGCTCCAACCTTTGATTTTACTTGATTCCATAAATGCTCTATGGGGTTGAACAAGCAATGATTTAGAGGAGGACGTAAAACAGTATGCCCAGCCCACGATGGTGTCGTCTTATGGGACATGCGGTCATGAAATTCTCGCGCTAATGGGATATTTTAAATATAGGATTTTTGTGCATATTTCAACTTTTCCAACAAAAATACATATTTTTAAACTTCAACATAAATAAGAAAACTGTTTAATCTTAAAAGGTAAAATTTTATTAACAGCAGGAAACATACCTTAAAAAAAATCACGTTATTTTAATAAAAAACATAAAAGTGAAAACTAAACTTATATGGTACAATTAAGTCTAAAGAATCATTATAAATTGTTCCTGAACCCTCATTATTTACAATTTTATAATGAGTCTTGTAATAAAACTAAAAGACTCATTACAAATATTCATTTATGGCTGTTAATTATAAAGATCTTTTATATCATTAAAAAGAGCGGTACGGGATTACCATTTTATAATGAGTTGTCGTGTTGCTTGATTTAACTGTTATTCTAATTCTAACAAATCAAAAACTTCAGGTAATAAAATGGACTTACTGATTTTAGGTAATTTTCTTAAACTAGAAATAAAAGGGTCGTAATTTAAAAGCATTCGATGAAGAAGGTCTGTGTTTGTACGAACACGAGACATTTTTCTTATAGTTAAGATTTTTATTTAAAGATTCTGCAGCTTCTTTCGAAAATTCCCCTATCGATAGAAGTCCATTTTCAATAAGTTTAGATCCATGCGCGAGAACCTTGTGCATGGAGGCAGTTAGGTAATACCACGGATAATTTTTTACAAGGTCTTTTGCTGTTTTATAGAATTAATTTTATAGCCGGAGCCCAAATCCTGCAAAAGAATACAATATCGCTTGATAAGATCTTTATCCTGACCAATTATTTCAGCTTCAGCAAATCTTCTTGCAGTATTACCATCGCTTGACGTCCAACTTCCTTCACTTCTCGGATTATCTATAATTAAGCCCAACTTTTCCCTAAAATCTTTTTGAATCCGCGATTTTCTCTCTGCAAGAAGTACCTTTGCATTTGGCAATCTAGTTTGTCACATTTTAAAATCTAGCTTGTATGAAAGATGTATAAAATATTCAAAAAACCTAATCCATGAGTGACGGGGAGATAAACCAAAATCGAAAATTGTGGGTATCGACAGTTTTGCTTAAACGTACCTCAACATCGTTCATTTCTTTAAGTGTAGCATTGCAAATGTAACACCTACTTGACGATGTTTCCGTTAAGGAGCAATATACTTTACCGTCAACCATTGTCAATCGCAAAGAATGTTGAACCTTTTCTTCACGATCGCCATATTTAAAGATTGTTGGCTTCAAGTTTTTAATTATGTCTTCAAAATACGCTTCTTCTTGTAAAGAGGCTTCTTTAGTTTCCTTGGCAAACTGAAATCGCATAATAACATTATCTGAAGTTGCTGATTGACAAACTAGTTGGAGAGTAACATAAGGTGTCACAAACAGGTTTTCATCGCTGGTATTTGCATCAGGAAACTTCTGCTTGTATTCACTATGCCCTGAACTACCATCAAACCGCCATTTTACAATTAACATTAGGTCTCTTTGGAGTGGAAGAGTTGACAAAACGTCTTTTTGTGACTCAAGAATCCGGTTAGCCGTGTTATCCCGAAGTGTTCAACTTCTGCAGATGTCTCTGACACTTTTTCATACGCAGGATAGCACTTTTTCTTCGCCTCCAGAACTTTGTGATAGGAAGGAAAGACATTTGAGTCCATTTTTGAATTAACAAAATCTTTAATTAATGTATAATACCTGGTCAACTTCTGGTTAGCTTCAACAAAAAGTGAGAGGATTTCGTCTGCATTGATCTGCGAACTGGAGGTTTTGGACTGATCTTCTTTTAAGTATTTTATTGCAGAACTATCTGCTTTAGATAACTCCGACAATCTTCGGCGTTTACATCGTTCACTACATTCTTCAAACTCTTTCAAAAATCTTTTTGGCTTGCTTGTTGACGGCTCTTCATCGTCGGAAAACTGCTGGATATTAAAGAATTGAATTTAAGAAAACAACATTTAAATTAGGGTTCCATTTAAAAAAATGTAAAAATGTAAAGTAAAAAATGTTCAATCTTTAAAACTTTTGTATTTATCGTTTTCCCACAACTTTTGAAACCCATGAGGAAATGAGCTCAACATATAATAATATGAATAATACAATATGAGATAAGGTTTTGTTACGAAATGAATCAGGTAAAAACTTGATGCTATATTCAACAGTCCCTATGGGGTATTAGAAAAAAAAATCAACTAATGTAGTAACTTTGGTGGAAAATAAAGTGAAACTCCATTTCGAAACATAAGTTAAGCATTTATTTTTTTCCATGTTCGTGAGAGGTGTAGCATAGTTATAAATATAAAAAAAAATATAAAATGACCCAAAGTATATTGTATCAAAACTGCTCAGCAAACTGTCACTTTGCGCAAGAATGTTTATTAACCCATATTTTTGTGTATCTTACTTTGCAATTGTTGTACAGTCGCAATAGTAGCACTAATTCTTAATGTAAAATATATCTATCGATATTGTCAGTTTGAAGACTTTGAAAACCGAGTATGCGTCCAATGGTATTTAAGCGTTGGAACGAAAAACGCCATCATGTGCCCCAGATAAGAAATTTTTCTCTTTCTCGAGCTCTTCAACATTTGCTAAACGAATAACGTCGTTGTTAGACACTCCATCTACAGAGGAGACCATCACATCACATTTCAAACGCCTCTGGTTGGTTTATTGACGATGCCTTAAGGGTCCACGTTTCCACACCATGCAAAAGAACTGACTATACATAATACTCCACCATTCTATATCTGAGTTGAAAACTTTGATAATTATTTATTATTTAAAAGCTTTTTTGAACTACCCAATACCGCTCTTTTTTTCCACCTCTAAATATGAAAGAAACAAATAGAGTCACAATTTTTTACTATTTTCAATACAATCCCCCTTAACTTCAATACACTTATCACATCTCTTTATTAACAACTCAATCCCTTTAAAAAAATATTCTTTTGGTTTGTTTACCAAATGAGCTAAAACGGCCTCTTTTAACTCAACTTCGTCGTTAAACCGCCGTCCACGTAAGTCCTTTTTCAAATATTCAAACAAATAATAGTCGCTGGGGACCATATCTGGACTATAGGGAGGATTATCTATCTGTTGGAACCCACACTCTAAAATGGCAGCTTGTGCAAAAGACACACGCCTCTGGTCAATTTTCCTAGACGTTTTACACGTACGCAGTCTTGCAATTTATGTAATAATGTTGCGTAATATTTACCATTGACAGTGGTATTAGTTTCTTTAAAATCTATCAAAAGATCGTGGCCATCACCGTTTTCGTTGACTGGCAGACTCTGAATTTTCTTGGAGGTGCTTCACGCTTACGACGCCACTCCATTGATTCTTTTTTCGATAGAGGGTCATAGTAGTTTCATCACAGACTTCGGTTCCGACCCACAGAGTTATAAAAAAGACCGCGCACAATCGACACGCCGTTGTTGTTGTTTTTGAATAGCCTAAAGGTTTTTAGGAACCCATCTTGCACTAACCTTATGCATTCCTAAATGATCATGCAGGATTCGACGAACACTTGTATTAGAAAGCTTAGTAATTTCTGAGATTTCCTTGACCTTTAAACGTCGATCACTCAATACCGCCTCTTCCACAATGGCAACAATATCTTCCGTTACGACCTCCACTGGTCGGCCAGTTCATCAAGGGACTCCTGCCCCATTCGAAAACGTTTTGCCCATTCTTTCACTGCAGAATACGAACGAGAACTTTGGCCGTACACATTATCCAGCCTTTCTTTAATAATTTTAGGTGCTAACCCTTCTTTTGTCAAAAATTTTATGGCTGCTCTATACTCAATTTGCGTTATTTGCGACATTTTTTCGGACACGTCTTATTTAAAATGCTCTCATTAAAATACAATTTGACGCAAGACTTCAATTTTTTTTTGCAGCCTAATAAGATATATATTTAAAAGAAGACAATTTTTTATCGTGATACTAGAGCTCAGGATGGGAAATTTTGGCGCTAACCTCGTTTCGTCATTGTATCGGTGAGATACTACTACCGAGCAAAACTTTTGTATTATTGATGTTTATTTTAGGAAACTCTTAACGTCATTATATCTTATATTATTAATGGGAATGCCGTTTACTATAATGCTACTAAATGCCCTTTCCGTATATAGGCTAAACAGCATATAAGAATGAATACAAATTCCTCTGTGGTTAAGTACCACTATAGACAATCATAGATTAAAAATCTTCGCTGATGAGATTTCATCTTATCAGCATCCTTATAATGTATTTAAAATGAGTAACTGCTAGCGCTAGCCGCAATTTAGAAAACGAACATGCATCATATACTTTTCAGTGTGGTACTTGTTTCAGTCGCCGTAAGTCACATAAAACCATTTTCATTTTTCTAACGACATGCCCATCTATCGAACAAATTTTATTATGATGAAATAGTGTCGGGGAATTCTGCACGGAAGATTTAATGCACGTTTAAAATTTTATAAAATTGCATTAAAGCATCCTTTTCCTATAACGGCCCTGCAATTGAGATAAATACTACACAAAATATATATTGTTATATATTCCTGGGATGATTAATATTTTAGTATATTGTTTTATAAATTTCATTTCATTTTAGGTGTATGAGAGTTTTAATGCCTTAAATATAAGACAGTAAAAGTAAAACTAATAAACCCTGATTAACTTTGCAGGAATATATGTTCAATGTTTTAAGAGATTTTTGAAATGTAGTATAACAACTTTACTTGGTCACAGGAAAATAGCAGCGAACCTATGTAATCATGTAATTTTGAATGATGTCCTTAAAGCTTTATTTTTGGTGCATTTCGATATTTGCTTAAGTGTTGTGTGAGTAGGGCATTTAATTTATTTCGTTATTTATTTCAGCGATCTATATCATGCAAAAATTAATGACACAATGGTGTGATATTGAGTTACATTTATTGAATAACAGACCGCAAAACTTTTGAACGATATCTGTGTTTTATTTTCCTCCGTGAATTTGTGTTTGACTAGTCACAACTATTACAACTAACGCTTAATACGTAATGTAATAATAGATTTTTAACGTCGCTCATTTCGCTAGGGGCTCGAGAATCCAGTTAAACCAACTCACATTTAAACTTCTATGGGGCCTATAAGTAAATCTTCTAGATTCCTGCAGCGTCTGTTCTTTATAAATCAAAGTGGCTGAAGTTTCGCTAGGTTACTTCAGAGCTTAACTGAAAGTGGCTAGTATTCTACTCTGTACCTGCTTATATATTGAGGGGGCCGGAAATAAAGGAGTGTGATGAAAATTTTCTCGGATGACTGATTCCCATATTGGTGGGTGGTGGATAAGATTGTCTGGTTGCTTATAGATTTCTATAAATTCTCGGATTTTTCATTCATAGAAGAATTGATTATATGCAAGAATTTTAGTTTTATCGGATAAGATTTGATGTTCGGATTCGTGATTATTTTCGGCAACTGCTGGTGAGTTTATTAGTCGTAGTCTTAAGGCTCTCTTTCATGTTCTTTGAGTTGATATTTTTCCTCCGGTCTCTCCAACGTATTCTTTGCCGCATAAGCATGGAATGCTCCAAGATCCTGGTATCCCAAACGGAATTTTGTCTTTGATAAATCGAAGACATTGGGGTGCAATAGTCAAGAATCCCTCTGAAATTTTCTTAGCCATTTGAACTCTATGTACCCTAACATACGTGTTACCATTGAATTGAAAACCACTAAACCTAACATTGGGTCATTATGTCTGGTCACCCTACGCACACAGACCGATCCGTCCCAAAAATCATCAGTTTTCAACTCTTTTCTTTACAGAGCCATAAAACTATCTCGATCAGAGTCACTGAAACCATGAACACCTTACATCTGCTCTTGTCTTTAGCAATTTCCACATTAGAGATATTAAGCGTTCCATCACACCACAAACTTTACCACAATCTTCCTAAGACAATGAGTCCGACAGCAATCCCACACTTGCTATTGTTGTCCTTCCTCATATTCAAACATCACTGACCACATGTCAACAGTTCTTAAGAAATATAACGTCGAAACCAGATTTACCACTTGTCTAAACATCTCTCAACATATTAGATCAGTCAAAGACAGAATTCCCTTTGGGATACCAGGAGTTTACAGAAAAATATCAACTAGACTCAAAGAACATGAAAGAGCCTTTCGAGAATCTATAGAAATCTCTAAGCAACCAAATAATTTTAACCGCGACTCATGCCTCTCAGCAATATGGAAATCAGTCCCCAGACTTAACGGCATATAAAAGCAACGCCAAATGCGCTTCAGAAAACGAAAAAGAAATAAATAAAATAGTTATAATAATAAAAGGGAGAAACGGTAATAAATATATAAATAAATAAAAATAAAACTGGACCGGTAGGTCCTTGCAAATTAGTTGCGCGCTCAGTGTGATTAAGATGGCGGGAGGGCACGATTAATAAAGAAGAAAGTGGCAGACCTCCCAGTCTTTCAGATGGTCTGAGGAACCCGATGTTTTACAATAAAAAAAAATAATTAATTTAAATTAGCACAATTAAACGGAGTAAAGGGAGTAAAAACAAAGATGAAAGTTGGTCTCCGTTATTTAATAGGCGGCAAGAAAAAGAAATTAGAAATCCGCAACGTGGCGGAAGTTGACCGTTCATTTAATAAGGTTAATTTTAAATAATATATTAATAGAAATATATATAACTATTGATAACTCGACAACGATTTCACTCAGTATTACAAAGTAAAGTATTTGTAAACAAATTTTCCGAGAGTGAAACTATCGATTAAATGACCGAGCTTGACAAAACGGAAAATGAGGAAAAAGAAAAAAAATCCTTTTAATAGTATTTCGTCATCAAATCTTACAACATCACCTCGTTTATTCCTGAGCAACTTACAAAGGGTCTAGCTTCTCGCAGATCTACTAAATGGTTAGTTGATGGTTTAAATGTGCTCCAATATCTCGATAACGAAGGAATTACAAAGTTTGGATCCTCCCAAAATACACCGATAGAGGTGCTTTCAAAAGACGGGTGCTCCAAGGAGAGTACGGATGCTCCAAGGACCTTTTAAAATTTCCGCGTATAAGCCGACAAAACTGCAAAACTCCGAATGCGTCCCGAGAAATTTATTGACAGAATCACCAAATGGTCAGCCATTTGATTAGTTAGAATTTAACCATAAATCCGCAAAACGAAGGCTGTGGCAAAAGCCGGTAGGTTAATCACAGGGACTGGCTACAACACTGCTCTTCCACTAAGTAATAAGAAAAGGATACCATACGCTCTGAGTCAGGAGTGAGAAAGATAAGGAGCACCGAGAGAGATGGCGAAACGGAGAGAGAGAAAGCCATAGGCCAATGATACTAGCGGTACAAATATTGCGAACGAGTTAGAAAGATTAGTAATAGCAACTAAAGAAAGCGAATTAAATTACGACTTTTTTTATCCTGACAGCACTGCCATAGACCTCAGAGCAAGTCAGATGTATGACGGGGAGACAGGAAAGAAAGAAAATGATTACAATTTAAATTGCAAACACAGAACTACCCATGGTATTTCACTATAAAACTCTGGTCAAGGGGACATGAGTAATTAAAATATAAGCAGTAAACCTACCGGGATATTTCAGCAATTTGAGTAAGCCCTAGAAATTAGTCGGTTTATCCACCGAAGTGTAAGAAATATTTAAGGAAATATTTTCCTATATCCTCTTCACCTATGCAAAAGGCATCAATAGGCGCGAGCAGCATTCAGATTCGAGAAATATACAGATATGCACTTAGACGAGAAGATTGACAAGAGGACATAGACAAATCCTGGAAAACAAGTGATGCTGGAGAAAAGGCAAACTTAACGTATACTTTTCATCAAATAACTATTGTTCACTCACATAGAAATTTAGTAACAAACGCTTAATAATTTTCCTACATCTAGGTAAACCACAATGGCAATAAAGAAGTCACCATATCAGATCGAATAGGTGACGAAAGGAAACCATATAAACAATATATGTATAGTACATATAAAGGGCTTGTAATCATAACAATAACAGTTGTTAATAAAATTTGCTGAATAAAATAGGTTAACTGAAATATATACTCTTAACAATCCCTTTTAATTTTATCACACTATTTTCTAATAAAAATTCTAAAGTGTTACTCAATGTTTAGCTCCGCCCCGCTCAAACAATATGCAGAGGTACAGAGTGAAATACGAGCCAGTTTCAGTTTAGCTATGAAGAAGGTAACAGGATGATTGGCGAAACGTTAGCAAATTTAATTTATAAACAAATAGTAAATAGAATTTGAAAGACAACAAGGGAAGGCAGAAAAGAAGTCAATACATAACTCGATAAAAAATTGACATGGCGTAAAGTGACATACTGGAAGAAACCTTATAAAATCGAAAGAATGAATCGTTGTTTCCTTCAAAACAGAACACAACAAAAACAAGACAATAGCATTAGTAACCTACTTAATGTTTCATAATATCTGCCCAAGAAAATTAACTTTTTGTAATTGTCAAAATTCCCTGACAAGGTTGCAATAAATCTTGCTTAAATTGTTACTGTCTGATATAAATTAACCAATCTGGTTTTAAATTTATTTATATAAAGCATTGCAGATATTAGAAAATTCTTGCGGCTAGTTTCTCCATGTAGGATTTTAGGGGAAATTGAATTTGAGCCCATAATTAATTGAAAAATTATGCAGTTTTTTCCGATTTGTCCATAATCGCAACATTGCAGTCATTTTCATGTCGATTTACGTATTTACCAAGCTTTTGACATGTTAAACCCATGTAACTCTTCTCACGCTTTCCACATATACAAAAAATTAAACCCGATTTTTCCAAATCCCCATCATCATCATGTTTTTTGGATACATATAAGGCACTCCTTGTATTGTCTCGCCCGAATACACGAGTGAGACGGCCAGGAAGCTCAAATTATCTCTTATCTAATTTTTGATTGTCTTGGTAGACTATTTTCAAACGGAATTTTATTATGTTTCTTAATAACCTCAACTTTTTTGTTAAAATTGTGAGTATTGTTGTGATTGTGTCGCAAATAAGAGGTCCAGATTTATGTTATTATTATTATGGTGTCTTATGGTATATTGTCCAAAAATGGTATACCACTTTTTTATTCCAATTCGATTGTAAACTGTAAACGCGAGTTAAAGGAATTGAACGACTTTAAGTTACCTATTGGAATTGCAGCGCTAATATCATAAATAAAAAACAAGGAATGTGAATGGGTAGTTTAGAATTACAATTACTAAATACATTGTTACTACTTATATTGTTTTGTTTTTAATGATGTGGTTTTGGAAGAACCCGCCATTGGTTTTATAGAGCTTACCCAATATGTAATGTATTTTTTTCTGTTCTGTGTTCTTCCTTTGCTTATAAACGCTTAACCTGAAACCAAACGTTGGAAAAAATCACATATTTCATATATTGTTCTAGAACCGAACACTACCATGCAAATTACAACTCAGCTACACACTCGACATTAAATTTTATTTTTTTTATTATATTGCATTTCCATATTATATATTATAATAAATTAAATCACAATTGCAATATGACGTATCTATTATGAAAACTGCGAACATGACGATTTTTATAATTATATATTATCTCAGTTCGAATAAAATGCTTTTTGTAATTTCGATTTGTAATGGAATAATTAACTCTAATGTCGAATTATTTCATTTTTTGGAAAAACATTGTTGTTTTCTTAAAGAAGCGAATGTTCTCTCCGTATGCTGTTTTATTGTTGCACTGAGTGTGAAAACTAACCGAGACTAATCTACAGTTCTTTCAAAAACCGCTTTTTGTTTTAAGCTGGCGCAAGATTTGATCGTCGATCTTCCAGATGGAACAATTCGAGGATCCGAGATCACTTTCCAGGAGAAGAGTTATTACGCTTATAGAGGAATTCCTTTTGCAGCTCCACCTATCGGAAAACTACGGTTTCAGGTAAAGTAACAGTAATATATTGGAGAACAAATGTTAAAAAGTCATAATTGTGCACATTTTCGACCACAGAAAAAATTGAGGCTTATATTCAATGTAAACGTGCATATTTTGCCAGTTTCGAAATTTTATTGCAATCAGTTAACAATTTTTTGTAAGCAAACGAATGTTACAAAAGTTATTATTTGGAATTAGATGGGAGTAGAGTTGCTAAAATGAGTTGATACATCTGAAATGTTAGGTGTTTATCTTGAATGGGGCAGTGTTTTCTTTTAAAATTTGCAAACTACGAGAATATACTAAAGTTAAGTAAGCTAAGTAATTACAAAAAGGGTTGCTAGTGGATTTGTAATTTCAGTTCGCTCTTCCAACCTCAGAGAATGCTAACCAAGGTTAAGTTTGTCTTGGCCAGTCAGATTTGTTTCATAAAAAATGCAAGGGTGTGCATTTTCAATGTTTATAAGATAGAATAACATTTATGTAGTATTTTTTGTTATTAAAAGAGTCGAAGACAAATACCAAATTATACGTTTTCAATTTTTACAAAACAGGTTAAGTCAGTTAAGACAATCTAACACCTGAATCGTATTCTCTGATGCTGGAAGTATCATCGAAAAAGAAAAAATACCGATAACTACTTCTGGTGACACAAAACGAAAAAGAATTGGTTAGTTGGTTTTGCAATTTGCAATTACAGGGATCAATAAACAATTTGGACGACTAAAAGGTTATATCGTAAAGTTTAGATGAATTGTAATGATAGTTTTGGATAAACTTCGTAATTCAGTTTTCAAAACCTAAACACCTCGAACCATTCCTAAATTAGGGTCATACTAATTTGAAAAAATGTGACAGCGGTGTTACTTCAGATAGTAAGAGGCTCTACAGCTTCCCATGTTCTTTCGAGTACTTCAATCAGATGTTCGACGCACTTTCTCCATTTTTCACATTTGAAAGAAACCTTCAGCGTCCTTTAGTTTAAAAGTGCTCCAGCCATATGCAAACACATTTCAACTAATCCATGTTCAACTATTTATGCCACTCCGAACGTTGAATTTTGGTGGCGAAGAGTTTTGAAGAGCTTATTAATCTGCTTCTCAGCCACAAATTCAAACCATCCATAATTCAAATTTAACACTAAACGCTAAACCACAGCGTTAACTACCTGTCCTTCTACCTACCACCCTCGGGACCCTTGATAATCATCGTAGATACAATACTGTTGTTTGTTTTAAAAATAATGCATTCAAATTTACTGGGCTTGTCTCATATCATAATAAATTAGCAAATTTGTGATCTTTGTTTAATTAAATATATAAAATTAAAGAAGTAATAATTATTGTTACCTAAGAAAGATATAACAAATTATTTTAGCAATTGGCAATATTGAACTGAGGTAGGTGGCTTTTACTTGATGAAAATCCATTTATCAAAATAAATAAGAACTAAAAGTTCAGATTTTCAGGAAATTATATATTTTTACATGACAATTGTTTCGGCAATACCGTGGCTCTATCAAATGTCATCATTTGATAAAGACACGGTTTTGTCGAAACAATTGTCATGTAAAAATATATAATTTCTTGAAAATCTGAACTTTTAGTTCTTATTTATTTTGAATTGGGTATATGATGGCGATAACACCATAGTGGGATATAACCATAATGACACTAATCATTAATCAAGAACTATAGAGCCTTAAAAGTACATTGGGTTATCACGAAAGAAGAAACGACTGTTAATTTGCAATCTCTAACGGGCCTGCTCTTTCTTGGATAAGCTCTGTTGCTCAATTCGCAGAACAATTGAATCTTCCAACACAACAAAATTAAGCAATGATTAATAAGACCATACTGTCTTATAGTCACCCACCAGATAGAGGTTTGCTGTATCCTGTTGACATAAAAAAATATTTAATTAAGGTATATTTGGGATCATTTACTTAATATATCATCTTTTTGGTCATTTCGGCAAAAACAGCTGTCTGGTCAACGAACTGAATTGATTAAATTTTTACGCGAACAAAGAGCTTCCAAATCAGATCATGTATTATGCTAAACGTAGGTAAGAAAAATATGCGCGTTTGCCAGATTAGCCACTTTAATATTGACTCTGTAGTTTGATATAAATTTGTGACACTTTTATTGTAATTTCGATGTTTATATACGATATATAGGATATTTTTTTGTTTTCAGGGTCCGGTACCTCCTAAACCGTGGGATGGCATTTTGGAGGCCAACGAAACACAAAGTTGTTGTATATCTATGTCGCCAGATGACCAGATGAGTGAAGACTGTTTGTATCTGAATGTATACACCCCTGCAAGAAAGGCGAGTACAAATTGTTTTGAGTAAGACCGCTTGTCCCATGATAGATGGAATATAAGACATTTGGGGAAAGAGACTTACTGAAAATTTGGTCACATGGGTTTTTGACTCTGTTCGCTCAATCTCTAGTGAAGGAGACAACCAATAAATTGTTCCATTTTACTTTCAGTTATGTACAATATTCTTCTATACCTAATTTTTACGGTTTTCGATATACTAGAGTTTAATTTTGTATTGGTGGGCTTGTTCTATCGTGAGTACTGGTTTCCTTTAGATATGCCGGGTAAAAGAAACTTCTCGCAGTTGACTCATAAAGGGAAAATAAAAGCTGCAAATGGAAATTCGACAGATGGGCTTTGATTAGCTTAGTGCATAGGATATTTCACATATAAGTTATTCTGAAAGATGCTTTTTGAACTTCAATTTAAAAAGTTTTTTTATCTTGTTTTTGCTAAAAGCTAAAATAGGACTCTAAAGTTACTATTTTTAAAAAAACCATAACTGAACCCATCCAAATTAAATTATATTTTCAAACAAACACGATAATTATTATTACATAGTTTCAATTTTCAAAACCTCCAACTTCCAAACATTTTTTATAAATTTCGCTTAACTCTAATTTCATCCGTCGTCCTAATACATTCCTTGGTACCTTTTGAAAAGCATTTTGAATTTTTGCATTTAAATGGTCAACGTCAATTGAGACAGTTATATACACGCTATTTTAAGTGTTTCTCAAAGACAAAAAAAGGTTTGTGTTGTTAGGTCTGGCCATTTTGGCGACCAAAGTACGGGTACTTGAGTACCAGTCCAATCCATCAGCAGTATCTTTAAATTTTGCTACTTGTTTCTAGTTGAACCATGTTGTGGTTCCAATTACTCCATTTATATATCCTCATCTTGGACACACTATATACGGTGGAGTATAATATTTAAACTATGAAACTCAAGAACTTCCGGAAGCTTCTCTTGTGAAAACTATAGATATGTTCTAACGTATATAGATATGGACAGTGAACGGATTACAATGTGAACATGAAGAAAGTTTTGCTCGACTTATCCGCACTACAGATAAATCTGAGAAAGTTTGTAGGAATAGAAATTATGGTTGAAGAAATGTTTCCGATTTAATCTTTCTTTTTCATATAAATAACTTTCTGTGCTTCCCTTCAATTCATTTTTTTTTCACTTATTAAATATATATTATCATTTTTTAATAAATTAGGCTATTACGATATTTTCTTAAAAAAACATTTTCTCGAATGGTTTTTGATAATGATTACAAAAACGTCTATTCACGAATTCTGTGTAAGATGGCGAGCTCATCATTTTGTACAATATATATCGCCGAGATGATTGGTAAGAAGTTTTGAAACAATAATTTTAAAAAATCAACGCAACTTTTCGTCGGTAAAAATATACTAGATTAGTAAAGAAAACTCAAAAAGCTATGCGACCAAATTTTCAGTACGTTACTACGTTCCGTTTTACGAAAACGTCTACTGTTTCCGTAAGACGCCCTGTATTTGTATTTAAAACTCGTGTCTTTAAAAGCAAATCAATTGAATGAATTCAATTCAAACTCCACTGCAAAATGTTAATTTGATTTTTACGATTACTCAGTGTTTTTTAAGCCAAGTTAACTAGATACGCCAGGATTTTTTAGAAACTTTCGTGATTTTTCTGCAATGATTTTATTATATCCATTAATAATTTTCAGTTCATGAAATTGACGAAAAACTGACGAATCTATGCGATGAGAAGTGAAAAAGTGCAAATTATTGATGATTCTAATTAACTACATGTAATAAACCAGTTTTCGAAATCTAATTTGTAGCTACTAATAATATTGATGGTTGATAATTTGCTGTTTGGTCATCACTTCTTAATTAATAACAATTATTTCTCTTTAAACTTCGTTTCAACATTTGGCATAAAAATTTAGAAAGATACTGATTCAAGCAATTGTCAATCGCTATCCTTTCAAGGTTATAAGAGTATTGAATATTGAAATTTATTTTGACGACGTATTCTTCAATAACGTTTGGATTAGCATTGTTTAAGTTTATAGAGTATGTAAACTTCAAGATAGTGCCCACATATACCCAGTATTTCTAGTAATTCCTTTCACGCGATCCTCTATTTATTAAGGCTAGGAAAAGCATTTAAGTAAGTTATAAAACACACTATGAAGTGAAAGACCGAGATTTAAGCCAGAAACGATTTATTGGTTGCATAACAAATAAAAAAAAACTTCTGGAGTGAATTAATGACAGCCAGCTAGGAGATAATTCCTCATCTAAACACAGCATACATATGCTTTTAGCCGATTGCAGTGGTACTTGGGACTCTCGTCTGTCTCAGTCCCGGTAGACTCTGCCAAAGCCTACAAAATGGCCTCCCGATCCATTTATTGAGTTCGGTCTTCAATACACAGGCCAACATTATTTAAACTTTTGAAAGTTGATTTCAGTCTGACATTTGATTTTGTTTAATTTGGGCCACTTAAATTAAAATTTGATAAACATTTTTCTCTATCACGTAAGGTTTTTTATCAACACTAAAAGAAGTAATAAATGAAAATCTCGGTTGATTATTTTTATTAGTATAAGAACAAAAACCAAATTAAAAAATTTAAATTAAATAACAAAGTTAAGTCCACTTATTTTTGGAAGATCTCTCACTCTTGGCCAAACAACTTCGTTTAGTGGATTTTAATGTCCCTTTTTAATGCCCGCAGTAATCTGCAATCATTGGAATGTTCTTTGATATGTGCAGTCCATTTCTATTATACTTTGATGGAACTTCCCGCCTTGCTCCTTACAACACCAAGATTTTAAGAAAAGTATATTGCATCCCATTTTTCTAAATTTCTATAACATGTTTTCCACAATGTCTCTGTAATCTGTAATTTGTTGTTTCCTAGAAAACATAACAAAATATCAATAAATGAAACCCATGCAGCCATATCAGATTCGATCATGGTACTCACAAACTGTTGATCTTCTATTAATTGCCTTATTTATTGGTATTGGTATTGGTATTGGTATTAAAGGGGGGCGCCCTCGCGGCGGGCGTCCAAGCACTTAGGCCACCAGATGGGCCCGTTGTGCCCCCAGGCCGCTCTAGAGGGCGTCCAGAATGCCGCCCCTCCTGTAGAAGGTCAGCAACTCCTTTAGCCCAATACCGTGCACTGAGTCCGGATCGATCAGGGCCTTTCCGAAGACTCCCAATCTTGCCCATGTCAAGGCAGGGCACTCGGTGAGCAGATGATACGGGGTCTCCTCCCCTTCCATGCACCACCTACACTCCGGGTCGTCTCCAATGCCTAGCAAGCAGAGATGCCTCCTAAGCCTGCAATGTCCTGTGTAGGCCCCTGTTAGTGCTCTACACTCCCTCCTGGTCAGTCTAAGCAGCTCCCTGGTCCGAGGAAGGGCGGGCCCATCCATCATAAGCCTCGCCCGCCTCATTCCCGGAGCAACTCTCCAGCCCCCGCGGCCCGGTCTCTCGCCCAGGCTTCGAGAGCTCCCCGCCTCACACACGGGGCGATCCCCAAGCGGGGCTCTGGCCCTATATGCCTATGCGAGGAGCCCTCCCTGGCTAAGGCGTCCGCTGCCTCATTGCCCCGGACACCGGTGTGACCCGGGACCCAGACCAACGTGACCTTTCTCTCCTCAGCCACCCTCCTCAGTACCCCTTTGCACTCCTTTATCAACAAGGAGCGCGTACGCACTGACTTCAGCGCCATGAGTGCAGCCCTACTATCCGAGCAGAAGAAGACTCTCCTGCTTCCGTAGTTGAGCCGAAGCACCTCTCTGGCCGCCATCAATAAAGCGAAAATTTCCGCCTGAAACACAGTGCAGTACTGACCCAGAGGGACCGACAAGCTTGATCCCGTTGTCTCGCAGTACGCTCCAGCTCCGACCAGATCTCCCATTCTGGACCCGTCCGTGTACCAGACAAGTCCATCCCAGGAGCCGACTCTGCCCTCTCTCCAATCTTCCCTTGATGGAAAGAGAAAGGTCAATTTATCAAAGAAGGTCATCTCGGGGATGTCGGCATGCCCATGACTCCGCGATCCCCGCGACAGCCCTCTAAAATGTCGTACGGACCCCGATTGAAGGTTCCCTCCCTCCAGAGCCCGCAGCTCGCCAGCCTCACAGCTGTCCTGGCCGCCTCCATCTGCACCCGATCAGCCAGAGAGGGCAGCCCCACCAGAGCCTCCAGGGCCCTCGTGGGCGCCGTTCTCATGGCGCCCGTTATGCAGAGGCAAGCCAATCTCTGCAGTCTGTCAAGAACTAGCCTTGCTCCCGCTCTTTTGATCCCCGGCCACCATGCCACTGCCCCATGCGTGAGCATAGGCACCACCATGGTACCGTAGATCCACTGCATGATCTTCGGCCCCAGGCCCCAAGTGCCCCCTACCGCTCTCCGGCACGCCCACAGAGCTCCAAAGGCCGACCTGGTCCTTGATCTTATATGTTCCTGGAAGGTCAACTTAGAGTCCAACCATACGCCCAAGTACTTGACACTTCCGCTTGCAGAAAGAGGCACCCCATCCATCGAAATGTTGAGGCTGCACTCCATCTTCCTTTTCCTAGTGAAGGTGACCATCTCCACCTTGCCAGGATTGACAGCCAACTTGCTGTCCAGGCACCATTGTGAGAATCTTGCCAATGCCCCGTTCAGGAGCCCCTGCATCCTCCTCACGTCCGTCCCCTGCGTCATTATCACAAGGTCGTCTGCATATGCCTGAGCATAAACCCCGTGTTCTTCCCTCAGAATATGCAATATCTCGTTCACCACTAGGCACCACAGGAACGGGGACAAGACCCCGCCCTGTGGACAACCCCGTCATGAACCGATGGAGACCTGCTCCCCATCCAGTCTTGCCTCGACCCTCCTGTCGGTTAGCATGGAGCGGATCCACCTTAAAATGGCCGTTACCACTCCAGTACTCTCCACCGCCCTGCAGATCGAGTACAGGGCCGTGTTATTGAAAGCCCCTTCGATGTCAGCGAACACGCATACCGACAGCCGTCCCGAGCCCATACCCTCCTCCAACCTGGAAGTCAGATGGTGAAGAGCTGAGCCCACAGACCCGCCACTTCGGTACGCATGCTGAGCTGGCTCTAAAGGGGCCTCCAGCTCCACCCAGTCCCTCAGATACCGGTCCACCAGTCTCTCCAGAGTCTTCATAATGAAGCTGGTGAGGCAAACAGGCCGGTACGACTTCGGGTCTGTGTAGTCACTCTTCCCTATTATTAATTGCCTTATTCGAGGACCTACAAAAATTCATTCCTTTCATTTGAGAGAGCGGGAAACATGGACCACCTTTATTTAAAGCAGCTTTAACGTATCGCTTCATCAATCCTAATTTATTATGCAACGGTGGTAATAAATTAACCCTTTCTGGTCAGTTCGTTTTTACCCAATGTTGTTTTTACTATCGCACTCACACAAAAAAATAGGGATCTTGATTTTCTCAAACAGTAGTGTCAGATATTCGTAGTATTCTTTCATTTACACAGAATGATCAACAGGTATAGAAACAAGAACATGCAAAATCTATGCCAGTGGCATAACTATTTCAATTTTTTAAAGTGTAATGTTCATATTTTTAAAACAATAAATATGACATCATAAAAATTAATTAAAAAATACTTGGTGGGAGCTAATAGGAAAACGTTGTTTTCCTATTAGCTTATAACTCCAAAAATATGAAAAATACCAACAAAATTTTTGATGGCCTGAGTAATCTCTCTGTATTCCTACAAATAGAAAAAAACTATCTGTTGAGCTTCTCATGACCACATATCAATATAACATAATTCTCAGAGGCACCAGATATATGTGCCTACTTAAAGCCCTTGTCCGCTTTGTGAACAAGACTGTTGCGAGAGGTCCAAAAAGGTTTTCTATAAGAGAATTAAGTATTCTTAGGCATGACTCTTGTTGGCCGTTGCCGGCTTCTTTCAGGGCTTCCAGCTTCGCAATAGAGCGACTCTGCAGGCCTCGAGACTTAACTTTAAATGTAATGCTCCAGTTCTAGGAGGACCTCAATCGACGTTGTCGTCGCTGTTTTCAAAAAGCATTTACAAGTGTGGTCGTTAACATCCAATACAAGATCCAAGATCTAATAAAAGCTTAATTAAAAATATGTTAAGAACGACAAGAAATTGTTTAATGCATTTAAAAGATTTTCAACCTCGGAAAAGCCGATTTTTACTGGAATCACTTTGAAATGAAGAACCTACTATTAGTCCAAGAAAGAGGGGTTTTAAGTTGATATCTGCAGGTTTAATATAGATTTTGATCCAGTAAGTTGCCAAAAAGCTGATTTCGACTGGAATCTGAATCCAGAAGAACTATTAACCATTTCTAGTGGAGAGAGGGGTTTGAAGTTCATATCTTCAGGTTTATTGTGGATATCGATGCAACAAGCGGCGAAGAACCAAATTTTGAGCAAAATCTCATTAAAATCGGCAACTATTTGATCCGTAAAGTGCGATTCTAAGTTAGTATCAGCTAATTGGTTTATGTTTTTGTAACAATAATTGCTAAAGATGCCGAATTTGATTTAAATTTGATACTAATTGACAGAAAAAGGTAACTATTTAGATATATAGATAATTTTATTCACAAATCCCAGTGGATGTTTCGTCAGGAAAAAAATGCATTCTAGAATATTACCAAGATATATGAAATTATATGAATAAACGATACGATAGACACACATATAGTAGTACGGTATGTTAGGACAGTTAACAAATGAATATATTCGTCAGGAGACTCTCATAATGTACGCTTGAAATTCTTTCAAAAAGTAGTAAACATTGACTGACAGAAACTTCCTGATGCACTTTTTGAACTCTCTTACAGATGCTTGAAGGAAGCAAATTATGATATCTTATTAGTCCTCCTTATTCCTACGTCACTCCTCGACTTCTTATAAAACATGTGGTTGGGTTTTGGCTTTAGAAGTTGTTCTCTATTTCGTTTTTTATAACCTTGGCCATCAATTTGTTTCTTATGGGAATCTTTTTTCTTTTTTATTAACAGTATTTTAAATAAGTATACAAAGCACTGTTAGTATTTTATACTTTACAAAAGTATTTGCAACAGAACCTGAGGTTTTAAGCTGGTATACCGTTTTAGTAACAATGTGACAAGAAAAGGTAACGATATCGAACAGATTACAATCAAAAACGACTTCTCTGCCCCAAATTGCTACGAACACAGCATCAAACTAGATATGACCCTAAAACCTACCTTTCTGGCTCAAATATTTGCCTTTTTTTGTCTATTTAATTCCATTCAAAGTCCTAGACATATTTTAACTAAAGTGACATCAAAATTGTAGATATCATCTTAAACCATCGTTTTCTGTTCCAAATAGTCACTTTTTCTCGTCAATTGCTATGAAATTCCAGTGAAAGTCCCCATCATTCGCTACTTATTGTGCCGAAAGCCATAAAAAACCTGCAGCTATGAACTCAAAACCCCTCTTTCTGGAACAAATTTTTTACTTGATCTCAAATAGATTCCACAGATTCAAATAGAAGCTCAAGCTCAAATGGAATAAGATTAGCTTATACTGTTGCTTATGGAATCTGCTGATGATTGGAACTTGGTTAATGAAACAAGCGTCCAGAACGTTGTATTAGTTGTATACATAGTTTATAGTACTTAATCCCTCTTCCTTTCTTTAAAGGCATTTTTCTAAATTTTTGGCAATTTCTATTTTTTTTAGATCACCGAGAAATTGCCCGTATTGTTCTGGATATACGGAGGTGGTTTCACCATTGGATGCACATCCGACGTTACAACTGGACCTTTTTATCTCCTAGACGAGGACGTGATAATCGTCTATGCCAACTATAGGCTGGGATTGTACGGGTTCCTATCCACCGAAGATGATGTAGTTTTGGGCAATGCAGGATTGAAGGACCAGTTGCTTGCGATGAAGTGGACTAAGAACAATATCGCTCTTTTTGGTGGAGATCCGGAAAAAATAACCATATTTGGCGAAAGTGCAGGCGGTATTTCAGTGGGAGCGCATGTTGTCAACACCAAGTCTGCAGGGCTGTACAGAGCTGCAATTTGCGAGAGCGGCTGTTCGCTGACTTATATTCAAGAAGTTTCAACTCAGACTAACGCCCGGCAAGCCGCTTACGACTACGCGAAATACGTAGATCCAACGATTTCCGAAGAAAACACGACCACGGAAATTCGAGATTTCTTACAAAGCCTGCCGGCCAACGTGTTGACTCCTGCCTACAGCGCAAACAGTCGCGTAAGTACAAGGTACCCGTACTAAAACGTCGTATAACGTGCATAATGTCCTCTAATCTTATCTTGTTAGCAACAGTGCAGTTTGAATTTTTGCATGGTACGGCGAAAAACTTAATTTAATAAAATTCATTGCTAAGATTGTGAAGAAAAATTATTTTTTCAGTTTTATAAAAAATAAAATTTGTACTATACATTGAAAAAACTTACCCTGTATAGTATCGTCAAAAAAAATTATCACTACTTCATTTTTGTGATAAAATATCGCGAAAACTTCCAATGGGTTATACAACATCCCACAGCTGCGCTGTGACCACGGGGTATTTAGGTGCATTCACCAAATTGGTGTAATTTATTATAGACGGGAATATCCATTGAAGTTGAACACGAAGATGCTTACGTCACAGACCTGAGTTTTCCCCTGCTCGAGTCTGGAAACTTCAATCAAGTTCCCGTAATAGTTGGGACCACATCTGCGGAAACAGTACCTCTATTTGCTGTTCTTGGCGGTAAGTGACAAGTACCTAATTAGATTTTAAGTATATTGCAAAAACAATTCTTTTAACACCCAGACAACGTTTGGAAACCATAATCAAGTTTCGATGATCGTCTGCTTCAAATACTTATTACAGGACTGCCACTTTGCCACTGAAACTCTATTTCCATAATCCACAAACAGTTACACTAAAGAATCGAAATAATGTTTTTCTACTCTTTATTCTAAAATACCACAAAAAAAAATTAAGCGCCGCTATAAATTTCAGCTTCGTCAGGGGTCGGATATTTTCGGTAGATTTTGACAATGACAAATTAGCATGTTTGTTAATTCTGACTGATGTCATACTTCACTAAGTGACCATATTAGTGCTGTTTCGCAAAAACGTTCCAAGCAAAATATCAACATGTTGTAAAAAATAATACTTTTTTTTTGTCACAGTTGTTTGTCTTAACTCTTAACTTTCAGTTCAGCTCTGAAGAAACCAACAGGATGATTGGAGAAACGTTAGCAAGTTCAACTCAGCACCAACCCACGCACGAGGAATCCATTACTTTTGTAAATAGTTATAATATTCCTCATTATCTAGGAAACTCATCTCCTGTTCCACGAAAAGAGGACAATTCTTGAATAGACCTCTTTTCGTCAGTTATCGGGTGTTACTTCCTCAATGACTTAAAGTGTTTCATTTTGAATTCTTTATTTCCGCCCATGTAAGTTTCGCCGCCATCTTTTTGCAATAAAGGTGCTTTATTGTCGCGCTTCCACCGGGAAAACTCCTCATTTCTTAAAATGTTTTTTAGTTAGCAACCTAAGGTGTACCTTTCTTCAAATTACAAATTTGCTGTTTTCATCAAAGACACCGGATCTATTGAGAACTATAATTTCCATCTAAAATTCAATTTTCCAAACGGTAATTTCGGAATTTTTGCGGGTATGGAGAATCTTAGACGTAGACGAAACGAAGCAACCATTGGATGCAAGAATAGCAGAATACAAGAAACATATCCAACTTGGAGAAACAAATAGATCTGGTCTCACATCACAGAATAAAATGGACAGACCCATAATTCTAGAAAAGGGAACTCAGTTTTCACTTCAAAATGGCTATTGATACTGATGTTATTTTGAGCCACTTATACAGGGTGTTTCAAAATAAATTCGTAAAAGTTAATGGGCGATTTCTTGTTTAAAATAAAGGGCAGTTTTTATATAAACGTTGGGCACCAGCCAACCATTAGGGACATATCGCACTACAAATATGATTATATTGTTTTATGTGCTAGCTTATCATTTAATTGTTCAACAGTTTTAATTCAATAATGGTACAGTGAAATAACAGATATGCATTTTACGGAAACGGAAATTCATTGCAAGCTTGTCATCTTAAAAAAATAAAATATAAACATAACCACAGTTTTTTTTTATAATACATACTCTTCGTTAATATTTTATTATTCTATCTGTGCTGGTTTTTAGAATAAAAATAAGAATGGTTTGCTTTTGTCCCAACTTTTATATTACACACAAGAATTTATTTTTGTGTTTTGAAACACCCCGTAGTGGGCACCGGCACTAATAGATTAATGTAATTCACAAAATCACAATCACAAAATTTTTCTGCCTGTTTTTTATATTGTTGAATTTTTAGGTGCGTTGGCAGCCAAGGCAATAGGAGCAAGTTTTGATTCGGACTTGGCCTCCTTGGTGCCGACTGGTTTGGTACTTCTGCCAGGTACCAACGCGACGGAAGTTGGGTCGATAATCAGGGAAGCATACGTTAGTCCAAATAAGACATTCGTTGATCGTTTGGATGCCGTTGTAGAAGTAAGTGTAAATTATCCATAACCATGGATTGTGGATACAGAAAATAGAAAAAAAAGCAAAAACTGCAAGCAATTGAAATTAAATGGGCACTAAAAATAAACTGCAATAGACTTTGACTGTTCTAAGTTTCCGCTAAGGATAATTTTGTAAGTTTTGTGTTTTTTTGTTAGTTCACACCCTGTATTTGCATTTTCAATGAAAATACTGGCATTCACAATGAAAAATTTCTAATAAGATCCGATCCTCAATCAATCCAAGCACTCTGCACAAATTCATAAAATTGAATTTTTAGAAAACATCTACTCTCGCATAACAATTTCATCTCTCAAAAAAACTTATACGCAGGCTACTGTAATACTATACTAATACTGCGTCGGTTATTGACAAATCGAACTTGCTGACGTTTCGCCAGTTATCCTGTTAGCTTCGCCAAAGATTAACTGAAACTGGTTTGCAGATATGATATGTTCTTGTAGACTTATCAATATTTTTCGTCTTGTCTCTCCAATATACTCTGTCTTATATATTATATTTTTTAAAAACTTTTGTATTTTCCAAGAAAACGATTCATATCTTGTAGAAATTATTTGAGAGAAAAGCAGATGTAAGGTGCTCTCATTCTGAATTCAGTGATTCAGGTTGAGATAGTATGTTAGAGTGTATAGAGTTTAAATGGTTAAGAAAATCTGGGAGGGATGCTTAACTATGAAGTCATATAGTTGGGAATCGAAGATATAGTGGAAATAGTGAATCCAGAAATATTATTAGATGGCGAGATCGACGTGTCGTCAAGTTGACATAAAAAGCAAGGAGGCCAAAGAGTGAGGGATAGAAAAAGAAGGACAATCATTATTTCTGATTTTTATCAAATTTTGTCATGACTTTGAAGTATTAATTTAATAATCACTTTATACAGGAAATTACTTAATTCGAGGATCAAATAGTGACAGCTCTTATATAAAACGGAATGTTTTAAACATGCAACAATTTAGCAGACGATAGAGGAATATAAGGAAGGAATATCGTGTCCGACCTTACCAAAAAGCGACGGTTTAGGGAGTTCACAATGTCAAAGCACGAAAATTAGGAAAGCGCAGCCTACCACACATATCTAATTGCACTTCGGATAATTAGGAAAAATAAAAAATTATTTTCCAACTCAATAACTATTGGTTCAACACTTTTCAACCGGAGCCACCGGTCTAGAGAATGAAAAATATTTCGTGCTATCGAACTCGAGATAAATGGTTACGATGGGCTGTATCATCTATCAGTTTCGGTTAGCCTCTGAAGAAGTCAACAGAATAAGTCGCTGCACATACGCAAAATGTGTAAATAGTACAGACGGAGATATTTTAGACGGCGATTCCTTACTAATAAATATGATAATAGATTGAAATTATTAACTCCTGTGGAAGGCGTCCACCATACCCTCGACGCCTTCCCAATTGACAAATCATTAAACGACAAACTTGAGCTAAAATTCAATATCTGTTTTTAGCCTCTTCGCAAGAATTAACGATTTTATTTCTCAATTCTTTAGCGTAAGTAAATATCTTTTCCACCTGTTGCAATCCAATTTTCATCGAAGGTATTATTCAGGTGGGTTCTGGCAGGTAAATGGCATTTGACTCACGAGTGAGATAAAGAGTTTACCAAACGTGTTGCATGCTATACCTTTTCTATGACCGTCACAAAAAAATTACAATTTAACAAATTAAAAATAATAACAGATGATCGGATTAATAAATTTCATACCATTCAAACCTATTCTTTTATGGTTCCAATCGGTTCTGCTATTGTTGTCTCTCTTTAACTGTGTACGTTAGACAGAGGGAGATTATGACAAATAAACAATGTTGTTTATTTAACTTTTACAATTGATCATGAAGTAGTTTACTTAAAGAAAAAGACTGTAATTGGTAATTGGAAGAAGAATCATCCAAGGATAGAGCTCTTAAGAGGATTAAATTTTTAAAACTGTAGTAGCAAGAAAAAGCAGGTCCTAACATTCAATTTTGATGAGACATGGATATTTTCAATTAGTACAATTGGTCTTGGCAAGATATTAACATTGAAACTCTAAAAACCACCAAAGTTCATGTGAACGGTATGTAAAATTTCTGTGGGAAACTTAAATTATAAATGTACCTTTTCTTGCCCACTAGTCCACTAGATTTCAATTGTAGGTTATAGGGCGTAGTATTTAAATTGTCTGATATATTGCATAATATTTTTCTGTGTATTAGTTTTCGAGTACATTTTTGCAAATTAACACGAGTACAGAATTGACAAACGTCAAAATTCAAACGGTGCGGTAAAATCTCCGAAAACATCCGAATGCTCTCAAACCCGTGCGGTAAAATTCCGGAAATGCCCGAAGTGATTCAGATCCGTGTGAAATGAAACTGACTAGATCGCTGTGTAATTTTACAGACGGGAATAGAAAAAAGTTATTTCGTTACGTACCCAGCGTAAATTTTTCTTCTTTTTTGCGGGATACCTAACCTAAGTTTTCGCGACATTGTGCTACTTTTGCGAGAAACAAAAGATATATTTGCATTTTGAAACACCCCTGATACCTAGGTTATTAGAAAAGTAAAAAGTGGATTTGTTGCCGTTATCACGCAGAATTCAGTAGCATACTCAGATTTTTTCTCCAATTATTTTTGGGAAGAAATAAACCACACTTTTTTTTAAGGGACACACTGTATATTTTCAGATAATACAATTGAGTTTGTGGAGAGTATCTCAAAAGTATATATAACTCAATGTTTGTTTTCAACATTAAGCCTAATATTCAAGTTTTGAAAAAAAACCACTTTTTTGTTAGAAAGAAATGACAGGTCATAAAAAGAAATTAAAATCAAACAATTTTGGTAATTTTTCATTGATTCAAAAACTAAAAAAAAAACTATAAACTTCTTTTTAATTACCAAAAAAATATCTTAAATTGATAGCTTGCTGCTGAATCTCAAATGTTGCTCAAATTGTTCTCCAAATGTTTCACACATAGTTCTTACGCGTCTTATTCCGCTTAAAATAATAAATGGTCGTACTTGTAGCTGTCTAAAGACTATTTCAATGATATTGTGCTATATATTTTAGTTTGTATATATCCCTATGAAAGGAAATTGAAATCTGGTGACCTATACGGTCATCTTATAGGTCCATTTGTTCCAATCCAGCGGAAAGGAAATGTAGTATTAAGATAAGAACTTGCTGTATAAAACATGAAGTATTGCATCCAACCTGGCCTTGCTGTTCCGGTGAAAATGCTAAATTTCTAAACACCAAAACCTTGAATTTTGTTTATTTAATACACCGGGACTCGTGAAATGAAATTATATGAATATGATAGGAAATTAACAGGATGTTAGTTTTGGCACTTGTGATTTAATGATTCCGATAGAATCTTCTACTTTTCTGCAAATATTATTTGGATTTATTCTAATTGAAGCCAATACATTAATTTCACCAATCTACTTGTTTTCTATCTTGTAAATATTAGACCAGAGTTTACAAAAATCTTCTTTCTCCATATCTATAAGTAATAAGTGATCATAAATAGTTTTGACTAGAAGAAAATGGAATAATTCAAACCTGTTAAAAAAGTAAGTTTTGGTTAGCTGGTTTTGACCTTTTGAATAAAAATCCGACGGAAACTCAAGAATTTCTGAATATGGCAGGACTTTGTTGTTTTGTTTTTAAAATAACCAGAGTTTTAAGTATTTTTTAACATGTTCTTGACAAAATTCATCGCATTATCCAAAAAATATACAGGGTGGCCCAAATAAATATTGTTTACTTTTTTTCGCGAAAGTAATTGAAAATAGAAAAAATCTGCAAAAATGGCAACAAACCCACTTTTCACTTTTCTTTCTGTGGCACCATAAAACCACCAAAGAATGGACACTCTGTACATTTAAAGAAAACTTTGCCAAAATATAACATAATCGAGTGAATATTTGTTTAGATATTGATAAAAAATATCTTTTTTAATACTCTGCTTTTCCGGATTCATATTTATAAAAGCGGTTTTTCATATTTTTTAATAAGTAATCGCCCTTTAAAATATCTCAGTTTATTTTTTGATCGCGTTGTGTAGTTAGATAGTCTTACAAGAATAAAAATATAATTAGCAATTAAACTCGAACTATTCACAGTGCCCCTCGCTTACATCTAATTACATAGTCTAACCTAACTAACTACTCGGAACTAACCTAATTGCATAGATCTCGGAATGGTAATAATTTTTTTATCTTTAAATCTGTGTAACGAATAAAATCAAACCATATTTGAATACGTAGACAGGGTTAACACTACTGTTAAGGTGTCTGTTAAGAAGAACAGTATAATTTTATTATTTTTCGGAGCCGTATTTGCCGCGCCATTTACGGGAGAATGGTCATCAAATAGAATTGATAGAGAGATGAGCGGCTAAACACCGCCATTAAGGAACATTGCCATACGCTTATGCGCATTCCCAATACTTGTTTAAGTTATTTGTTCGTCGCAAATAAAAGTTTGTGCCACTATTCTCATCGAAATTTCTTGCAATGTAATGTACTCCAGAAAGAATTGGAAGTTTTGGTATCTAGCGTGTTAGCGATCAGCACGATCCAATCATACAACAACTGCGATTTGTTAAATAATTAACGAACTTTTAAATCATCCATGCTGAGTGGGCAGTGAATTTGTTAAAAACAAGAAACTTTTGTCCTCTGTCGGTTGTTGATAACTCCTTTTCCGCGTGTCGACAATCATGGTGTTGGCTTCTTCAGAGCTTAACTGAAACTGGTTTGCGTTGTCAAGAAGCCAACAGGATGATTGGCGAAACGTCAGCAAATTTGATTTATCAACATCCGACGCAGGAGTCTATGGAAGTTTCTTTGAAAAATTAAGGAAAGTAGCTGGTTCTGGTGATTCATATTTTTTCCTAATTTCGATTCACTAAACTAATGGCCAACTAACTGAGTTTAATTTATTGCTTAATAATATATTAGTTAATTTTTTGCTGTTTGAATTTTGTTTGTATCAAACATTAATCAGGAACTCTCTGTCGAATAAAATTATTATGTTCGTGTTAAAAATTAATCGGAATGTCATTTTTAGTGTTAGTAGACAAAATATTAAGAACGCTTAATCAGTTTTTATCACATTTAGATATTAAACAAGTGGTGCAGAAATCTTCTTAACAATATTATTGAATGAGGTTTGAATTTATGATGTTAGCAATGTTCATATTAAAAATTAACCACGAACTATTTGAGTGTTAGTAGACAAAAGTCCACTAAAACACTTTTTTTATTAAATGCTTGGTTCTACGATTTGACAACCTCGCAACCAAGCTTACTGCCTGGCTCACGACAAGCATTTTACACCAAATTTTTAAAGCAATTTTAAAAGCGAGTAGTTTGACCATTTGTCAGTAGGCGATCATATTAATTCATTAAATTATATGATGCCATTTCAGTGACATATGTATGTGTATATCTATATGTATGTGAGTCTCAAGTTTCAACCATATTATTGGTTCGACTGGACGCAATTCGTGGATTCGATAGTTTTCACTTTGGAGGTGGCATTTTTTCGGTGGGGCTTTCTTAAAGTACAGCCTTAAAATTTTTGGTGAAATCACACATTAAGCGTGTGGACATAACTGTTGAAAAACTGACGCTGCGAGTTGGTGTGTGAATAATAAATGTGCTCTGTAACATGTCATATTTATATGTTCTATATTGAAGGTTTCAACCTATTTGGTCTGTCTGTGATTCTTCACTTAATGATGAAATCATGTTTTGGTCTGATATAACTTCTTGTCCCTACACCAGATAATCGTTGCAAGCAAACAATGTCCCATTTGAATCCGGAAAAGTCAAACTACCTAATGCCAAATCTTGGACATTGTTAAGTAGGAAAAATGTATTGCTAATAAATAATGTGAACCCTTTGTTCATTACATATTGTCATTAAACTTGAACATTTTGATCAGCTAAATTGAATTTTGCCTCAAAACTTTTGTTTTATACGTTGTTGGAGGATATTTGCTTTTAAGTTTGCAGTATAGTTGAAGCCGATTATAAAACTCTTTTTAAATTATTACTCAAAGGAATTAAAAAAAAAACAACCCAGGCAAACTTGCAACTATTAAACATAATTACTGCTACATTACCCCCTAAAAACAATAAACTGTATTACCAAAATGTGTTTTCAGATAACCAGTGACCAGCTGTTCCTAAGATCAACATTGAAACAGGCCGAGATTCAGTCAAATTTCACTCCCGTATACCTTTATCAATTTTCCTTCGCTGGTTCCTTAAACTTTTATCCGAGCATCCAAGGTAACTATTCGGAAATGACATTTAGAGAGATTGCCATAATTAAAATTTACTTCAGGTGCTGGAAGAGCGGGTCACGTGGATGAAACCCTATACCTGTTCAGCTCTACTCCGTTGCTCGCGGACCGTGACGTCTTGGTCAGCAAGCAAATTGTTAGGCTCTGGGCTAATTTTGCAAAAACTTTGTAAGTATCAAATGTCCGTTGGTGGGTATTATTTCTGCGTATTCATCAATTATTGCGGTGGCATACAAATGCACAACCGAATTTTGCAAGGTATAGGGGTGAGCAGCTCCCACTGTGGCATTGAAAGTTGTGGTAACCTCATTTCTTGTCTTAATTCTGGTAAAGTTATTCTCATAAAGTGCCCAGTTTTTTAAGAAAACTGTTCGAAATTACTTTCGACGTCTTTGCTATTATTCTTTCTCTGGAATCTAGGAAAATTAAATAAATGAATTATTTTCAAAAAATTAGAAATTATGACGAACACCATGCTTTTCCCATTTATCGGATATATAGTGTTTATCTTATTTATCGGGTGTATAATGGCTTCGTATTTTTGTTTTGCTTTAATTTTTACATTAAAACAAGGTTATTTCTGCAGATTTAATATAACATTTCCAATTTGGTATGAGTATATATGGCTAGGGCAACCCCTAACAGTATTTTCAAATATCAGCGTTACTATTTTAAATGGAACGCCCTATGAGTTGTTGCATTGTTTGACTCTAAATAAAATTCTGAACAACTTTTATTTAAGGTACCTAAAAGAAACAGTATCTCACGTATTCAATATTTTTATGTAAAAAAAATCCGATGCAGCACTTCATTTAAAATGAAATTAGTCAATATCGGTAAACAACTTAAAAACAATAGCTTCCTGAAGCGATAAATTGTAATTTTTCATTTTAATAAGTTCAAAATTTAATTTAACATTACTCTATACCACTACTGCAGCGGTTGTTGATGAATCGAACTGACGTTTCGCTATTCATCCTGTTGCCTTCTTCAGAGCTGAACTGAAACTGGCTCGCATTCTACTCTGTACCTGCTCATATATCGTTTGAGGGGGCATCAACATTGTCTCGCATGACTGATTCCCATATTGGTGAAGCCCGAGTCGAATAAAATTTGATGTCCGGATTCATGATTGTGTTCGGCGACCGCTGATGAGTTTATTTGTCATAATCTTAAGGCTCGTGTTCTTTGGGCCTAGTTGATATTTTTCGTCCAGTCTATCGAATGTATGCTGTAAACTCCTAGTATCCCAAACGGAATTTTGTCTTTGTCGTTTTATTTCTGAAGAAATTTTGTTATGTGGTCGATGATGTTCTGAATGCAAGGAAGGAGAACAGTGGCAAGCAAGATTGCTTTAGGACCTACTGTCTTTGCAAGATTGTGGTGGACCTATTGATATCGCTAATGTGGAAATTATTACACAGAAAAGCAGATGTAAAGTGTTTTAGTTCCGGATTCAGTGACAGAATGACCCAATGTTAGGTCTGATTTTCTTTTAATATTGAATAAAAATGGGAGATTATTATAAGTTTCTAATTCAATTTTTAAACGGATCGATTTTTGCCAATGAGGAAAAAAACAAAAGCTTATCGACGTAGCGTTTACATATTTTTGGTTTTAGATAAAAGGTGTCAAGGGCTTTCTTTTCAAAATAAATAAGAACTAAAAGTTCAGATTTTCACGAAGTTATATATTTTTATATAACAATTGTTTCGACAACACAGTGTCTTTATCAAATGTAATATTTACAAACTACCTGCTTCTATATATACCGAAAAATGACCATAAAACCTTAATTAATGTTGTTGCCAGAATTTAAGTTCAACAAAGGGGAGGTGTTTAAATATAATTGATCTTTAAGCAATACATTTGAATGTCTCATCTTGTTAATCTCCATGGCTTCCAATAAATTTAAATCTACTTTTTGTGGCTGTATGTAAAATATCAAATCAAAAAGTGTTTAAGTGTGTAGCATAATTAGAATCTAGACTATTGTTTTTAAACGCTCTTTTATGTTCGTTAATGCGTTTCTTGAAGGATCTACCTGTTTGTCCAATATAAATTTTAGGACAAGATCCGCATTTCAACCTGTAGACACCTGCTTTTTGAGATTTTGGACATTTCGTTTTATTGTTTTTTAAAAAATTTTAATATTGTGTTGTTAGTTCTGAAAACAATTTTTAAACCACATTTTAACAAATGTTTTGAAACTTTTTCACTAGGTTCTCTTATTTAACTGTGTTCTGGATTAGGTTTCGGATAAATAGAGGTTGAAATGCTGATCTTGTCCTAAAATTTATATTGGACCGACAGGAAGATCCTTCAAGAAACGCATTAATGAACATAAAAGAGCGTTTAAAAACAATAGTCTAGATTCTAATTATGCTACACACTTAAACACGAAAAACACATTTTTGACGGCAATTTTGATATTTTACATTCAGTCATAAAAAGTAGAAAATTGAATTTATTGGAAGCCCTGGAGATTAACAAAATGAGACATTCAAATGTATTGCTTAACGATCAATTAGATTTAAATACCTTTCCTTTATTGAACTTAAATTCTCACAACAACATTAATTAACGTTATATGGTAATTTTTCTGTATATACAGTAGCAGGTACTTTGTAAATATTACATTTGATAAAAACACGGTGTTGTCGAAACAATTGTTATGTAAAAATATATAATTTCGTAAAAATCTGAACTTTTAGTTCTTATTTATTTTGATAAATGGATTTTGATCAAGTAAAAGGCAGCTCAGTTCAGGCTTTCTTTTCAAAGTATTCCAGAAATATATTCACGATGACTGCTGATAATAGAGAACCCATAGCCATTCGCGACGATCACAAAAACTGAGTCGTTGCTATTTAACAGTTTTTCGCGGTTATTTATAAGCGTTTCATCGTACATTAAATTAATTTAAATTAAGTAATTAAATTAAACTCGAACCTAAAGAAAAAAATCCAAAAGGTTTAGGTCAGATGATCTAGGTGGCCAGTTTCATGAACCATTATTTTTTATTTAATTATTAATTTTATTATTTAATTCGCCACCAACGCGATTGGTTCATTAGGCAGAAGCTTCCTCTAATTGATACCAAAAGAGTACGGCCAAATTTAATGGTAAAATTTCTATAAACTCCAACACCACCGTTTACAAGATTTCGTTTTTCGTTCATCCAAATTGTCTTAATCAATGTGATAAACGCGCTTACTATAAGAAGGCAAAACACATTCGGTTGATCAATAGTGGTTAGTCCTTCCATATCCATATGATTTGTTTTGTAAAATTCGGATCTTCTTGATATGTATTAGATGTATTGAAAAAAGTCCTTCTATGAGTAAGTAATTTACTCATAAATATTTGTCTGCACAGCGTTTTAAATTTCTTGGAAAACAAAAATAAGGTAATCTATATCTTCACCATATATTAAGTGACCAATGGTTTTAATTTTGCAATTCCCGTACCCAGAATGCCTTAGCTGTTGAATAATTATGCATGTTATGTAGATTAACTGCACCTTTACTGCGAAAAATAGCTTCCTGGGAAAACATTATTTAAGACAAAAAAATTGGATCGGCCTCTATTGCTTCATTTATAACGGTGAAGAAGGTTGCCCTTTGCTGTATTTATCACACAGGCTACTTGACGGCTGCTGACCTGGTGATTATCTTGAACTTTGAAAATTTTCAATTCTTTTTCCTCAATGGTAGCATTCCGGTTTACCACTTCAAGTTTTCCATTTTCAATCCTACCACTGGCAACAAACCATTCCCTTATGCACTGAAAAGATTGGTATACACCTATGAGGGCACTTCATCTTGTAAAGTCTTAATGTCTTGTCAGGTTAAAATTTGACATGTCATTTTGTCTTGACCAACTAATGTTATAGCAATAGTCTTAGACAGAAAACAGGGCAAATATTGGAAAAGTTAAAATAAATAGCAAAATATAAAAAAATAGGTAGATGACAAGTTAATCATAAAAAATAATTATACATATGGTGTGCCATTTAAGAAAATCGAGATTTTTCATTTTAAAATGATCCAAATACTTTCGTACCATCTAATTCAAATTCCGTTGCAGATGTGTTATCGTATTTTTTTTGCAAGTATGAAAACTAGTAGGTATTTTTTAGAAAAAATTAAACATTGAAATACTATTAACTCTAGGTATGCGTTATTATTAATAAAAAAGGAATTCAAAACAAAATTTGAGAATAGAGTGTTTCGTTTAAAAAAATGTTTTATTCGTCACGCTTGTTTAGGTTACCCTGTATACTTTAAAATAATGTTGAATTGTGCATCTTGACAATCTATACAACCGTTGTATTTACCCTTTTCTAATAACTTTTGAAATCAATGAGATAAGAAACTTTACTCTATTGTTCACCCACCCTGTACATCCCTGCGTGGATCTCAAACATTGGGCATTTTGTATTTAATTTATGAAAATGTCCCTATATTAATTGAAATTTAGACGGAACTCCTTAAGCTACGTCATATGCGAGTTTTCGTGTTAATAAAAAATTGCATTGTCATCCTTATATATATCAGTCTACGTCCAACATCGGAGATGGAAGGACCTCTGAAGAAGCTCGCCACTCGTGCTAGCGAAACGTTAGGAAGTAATTCCAATCGACGACGGCCTTTAAACCCGAACCAAGATAATAGCTCATCCTTATATAGTTTTGACTCGATTCGTGTCATTTCAAACGCATCAATCTAAGCGACGGCAAGTTAAAATCCGCGAATTTGTGGTTGATGGCAATGAAATCAATCAGATATTATACAAAATTAGCTAATTTTGATATATAAAATAATTTAATAAGAATATGACAAACCCTTTAATTTGTCTTGTTGGTACTTTCAGGAATCCTACACCTGATCCGGCGGATCCACTATTCAACCTCACGTGGCCACAAGTTTCGCCGAACAATATTCAGTATCTAGATTTCGATGATGAGATCTCGGTGAAACCAAACAGAAAAGAAAAGCAAATGGCCATGTGGAATGACGTTTTCTATACGTACGGCCAGCAACCTTTTAATGGATTTTAAAATAGTTTTGATATTAAATACTGAATTTTTGTTAGTTTCTTCATCTATTATCGCGAATTGTAATATCGAAATATTTTGTGTGAAATAAACGATCGCCAAACAAAACAGTATAATCGCTTAATATTCGCAACTTCATAACGTACCATTGGATGCGTTCTATGAGGGTTTATTATTGTAATTGATGTAATAAAATCCTAACGAATTATAATTAACTACGCCATATAAGGGCCAGGGACTCGCACCAGGGCTCTTAAAGCTGGCTGTCAGAGCTGTCAATGTCCACATAGTGTGTGAAAGTAATATATCTCATTTATTATTTGTTTATACACGGTGAGTCAAAATGAAAATATTAATTTTTAAATTAATTAAATTTTTATTAATCATCCCCTATACCTAACCTACCTACTTTTACGAAGAAAATTCCGAAAGTTTGTCAAATTATGCGAAAAATCCTTCCTTTCTGTCAATTTAGAGATTCTGCATTTCTTAAATCCCAAAATATTATGGAACAATAAAACACTGTAAGTTGGCCATGCAAATAAATAATTATTTGAAACCTGTCAATTTTGTATTAGTTTTCTCAATTAATTTGTTGTTAGTTTCTCAACTTGCAAGTCATCGATGAAGTTTTCGGGGAGAAGAATGTATTATTGGCTATTGGAATTGATAAGCAGTATAGAAGTCGGCCTTCTGAAAGAACTGTCGCGAATTTGGTTAGTTTTGGTTAGTTGTTGAGAATTTGCTGAATTGTTTTACTCGAACTGATAGTGTTGCTTATAAAAAGAGCAATAGAATCAAGAGTGTAGTGAACGAGGGAAATGAATTGCAAGTATTACTTAATACCACAGAAAATGCACATTTAAGGGTGCAACAGTTGAACAGTCCAAACGAAATGAGGCAGAGAATGTGGTTTCTTCATGATGGAGCTCTTGCGCACCATAGGCATCAAGTTACGAACTATTGAAATAATGTATTTCCTCAACGGTTGATAGGAAGAGGTGGTCCGACTAGATGCTCGCCTAGTTTTCCTGATTTAATAAGGATAGACTATTTTCTACCGGGATGTGTTAAAAGCCAGATGTATAAAACATTCCCACAACAAAAGAAGACATAAAACAGAGCACAAGAGAAGCCTTTCAAAGTGTTAGTCAAGAAATGCTAGCGAATACTGCCCAATCGTTTAGTAGGTGGGAGACATTTCGAGCAACAAGTAAAGTGGAACTTAATTGAACAGTTTTTTGTTTTGCAGTTTTGTTTTTAGTAGTAAAGAATGCTATTACCTGAATGAATTATACTTAATTCGTCTCTGTAGACTTTTTACGTTCAGGTAATATTAATTTTGTTCTGAATCCTTCCTGATAATTTCACACGGTTTAAAAATGTTCAGTAATTTGATTGTGAAAATGTGTATACCTCAAAAAATACTAAGTTTAGTTTCCTAACTTGCTTACTTAATAAAATTGAAATAGCATTAATAAGTATAATATACAAGGTATTCCATTTTACTTTTTCACGAAAATTTATATTTTTCATGTTGACTCACCTTGTATACACAATTCGAACTAACTTTAAGATAAGTATTCTGTACCATACCATTTTCTACGAAAAATGGCCCCAACAACGCCACATAATGACACCTTGTATATTTGACAATAATTTTAAATTAAATAATATTACTTTGATAAACTGTTTGGGAACCCGGTAAGTTTTTTCTCTCTCTTAATGCCGGTAAGGCACCAATGACGGTCATAATGTGGGTCGAGAAAACAAAGAAATTTAAGTATTTTCATGTTATCGAGAGTTTTACCACTGCACTCATTAGCCATTACGTGACCACATGAATCCAAGACATCAAATATCCACATGGTATAGGGCTCCTCCCACTGGCAGGACGAAAACGGAGGTTTCGTAACTGTAATTTGATCAATGATAAAAATTGTTTAAATTAGGTCGGGTTAATGAAAAGCACTAATTGAAAAAGGAAATATCACCCTTTTTCTTGTTTAGTCTGAACTGAAGTATATTTCTCATTTTTGTAAATTTTCATCGCCTAAGACTTAGTATCTAAGTACCTAGACGTAACAGGTAATTTCAAATCTACCATTTTTATAAATGAAAGAAAAGAAAAAAAAGAAAAGAATAAGGGTTTTCAGTACAGAAAAGCCGAAGCCAGTCGAAGTTGCTAAGTATTGCTCGGAAATCATGCGATGCGATGATAATTTGTTGAAAGTAACACATATTGTATATAGGGTTTTGAAAATGGATATTGCATCGAGGTAACAGCAGTTAGAAATTTGATTGATTCCGGCCGCGGTACATTAAATGAACTAACTTGTAGAGAAATGATACACACTGCAAATCTCTTCGCAACTAAGAAGCAGTACAGCGAACCTTCTCAGTTGAAGTTCATGATCAACTTCCCTCTCTGAATAGGAACCCTCCTCCCTAAAAATTAAATGTTTCGTTAACCTTCTCCGCATACCCTCAATGAACTGACCGCTGCAGTTATATATTGGTGACCATATCACCGACCCATAGTCAAGCTTACACGTCATTTTAGTAATTTGAGGTACAAAAAAAAACGTCTGACCCAATAAAATCCATATCATTTACAGTGATAAGTCTAGTCAGGATAGTACCATCCATACTGTAATTAAATACGATGGAAGTTTATGTGCGGTGGTAAGAAAATACATTACCCTTGCTGATGTTAAGATGCAATTTATTTTTAGTAAATCACTGACTGACGATATTGATGTTTGAATGCAATGATATAATTTTAAGTCATCCGCATAGGCAAGCTTGTCGCAGGTGATTAAAGATATGATATCATCTATAAAATAAACCTCGTAACTGAAATACCCTTTCGTTCCTAATTTTATAATTTACCTACTAGCAATTTTCATTTTTTTTTCTACAAACCCTACAGTTTAATAATCCCACAGGTATTTGAGGTATTTGCACTGGGTTCATATTTTAACTTAATTTTTTAAGGAGTTGCGGTCATGGTGATTAAAATTTAGCGCCACTCAACTTAAGTTGGCTTGAGAGACTGTAAAATTTTTCGGTTCAGCCAAACAGTGAGCTCTTCCCACTGACCAGCTCGATTTTTGGCACCTAAAACAGTGAGATCACTCAACGGTGTCCACAATTGTGACACTTAACTTATTTCAGGCACTATTTCAGAAGAATGTAAAGTAATAAAATATAAAATTTCATCCATTTCCGCTTAATGTCGGTTTCTATACTGGGACTTTGTGCACAAAATTATTTTTTGTCTCTATATGACAGTTTCATGTATTGCTCCTGTATAATGTCCTGGAAGCTGGACTGCCAGTTGTCCTTCGATCTTGGTCTTCCATGGGTTTTTGACTCTATCAGTTTTCCTTCAAGTGCAATGCGTAGCAGTATAGTCTGCTCCATTTTTTTTACGTTAGCCTTTACTTTGCTTTTTTCCTTCAATCTATACTTTTTTTTATAGTCACACCGATCAAATATACATTATACATTATCCAGCAATTGCTTCTTCTAATTAACGACCGTCTGGACTGCTTTTCGTTTGTGATCTGGTGTCACTTCCTCAATGACTTGATTGTACAGCAGTATCATTAAAATCTCATAAAACAAAGGTTGTGTAAATCTGCCATAGGTAATAGTTTATTTTTATCAAATGACCTTCAAATTCAATATTTTTGTTGTTTACCCAACCGATATTTTTTTGTTTTCTATAAGATGAAGTTGTCTTGTGAATGATGCTTTGTATTATCGATAATTACCACTGAGTTATTTGCAAGACATGATTATGATTTTACCAAACTAGTCTCCCTAGTAATCGCCCATATGGCGACTGCAAGGTTACCAAACATTTTAAAAGTCCCTCTCTGCTTTCATTACGAGATGATTATTACTCTCTGCCTATTTATAGATCTTCTGGATTCCTCTTGCATCGGGTGTTGATAAATAAAACTTCCTGATGTTTCACCCGTTGTACCTCCTTTTATACTGTTTGAGGATGGTGGAGCCAAAGGAGGAAGATGAACATTGTCTTGCATGACTAATTCCCATATTGACTAGAGTCGCGGTTAAGACTGTTTGGTTGTTTAGAAATTTCTATAGTTTCCCTGATTTTATTTGGTCGAAGAATTGATTACAAGCAGGAGTATGGGCGATGTGCTCCATTTTAAGTGGAAAACCGATAATCGTTTTTCTGCTTGGAAGCTTCTTATTAGGACTGAGGTTCCACTTTGGGTTCTAAGGCGTAGACAGTATCCATTGCCGCAGGCCTGATAAACTTTCCCGATTCTGAAAGAACTGTCTTTAGTCATTTATTCAGCTCGTTCTTCACCACACTGTCCGTTATTCCAATCTGTCATCCAAATTATAAGATTGAGCTTTAATTATGAGCTTTAATAATAATAACAGCTTTCATTATCCTAATTGCTCATGGATTATGTGTGGAAATTTGTATTGTGTTCATCAAATATGGCTGCTCCCCCTTCAATAAATTTGTTAGCAGAATTTTTCTAATTAAAAGATTTGATGATATTTAGACAACTCTGGATAGAAACGTTTGTTGCGCTATACGTTTTTTGTAAATTATTTTGGTTTTATAAATTTTTGTCTATATGAGTCATATCGTTTACTTAGAAATATGACGATATGATGATAACAATAACAATTCTATTGGATATTTATCAACACTTGAAAGATAAACATCAAATTAAGTTTGATTTTATACTGATGACACCTATCGAATAAATGAATTAATCGCTATCGAACAGTGAAAGTGTTTACCATTTCAATGCAACGTTGCCGCTTGCTCTGAGATATTTTCAACTGGGCGACCCGTATATAATTATATTTATTTTCTTTTGCCTTCCTCTCTTACTAACCAATTATTTTTGCATAACTCTTTATAACCCTTAGATTTTCGAGAAATAAATGACTTTTTTAATTTTTTGTTTGAAACATTAATAATATAAAAATGTTAATAACCAGTTGAGACTTGCACTAACATTTCCACACTTACTCTATATTCTATCAACAATTAGGGAAGAATTAAATTTATGCATGACGTACATGTTTATACATTTCTTTATTAATTATTTTATTTATTATTTAAGTGCAAAGTATGGTTTCACCATTGACTAAGTAATTGGTGCGTCCGAGTCCAGGGGCGTAAGTTTTATATTCCGTTTGATATCGAAATAGTAAAGGGTAAATACAGTTTATTATTTCCTGCGTCGAATATTGATGAAGCAAAATTGCTGACCTGTAGCCAATGGATTCTATGGCTGTAGCTGCTTATGTACTATATGAGAGAGAGGCGGAGCTACAGTACGGATATGAACATTATCTTGGCCACTAGATTCTGCGGAAAAAATCCTTTACGATATATATCATAAGACAACGGTGGTAGTCTTGATAGCTTTGGATTTCACCCTGTATCTCAAAAACCAAGAGGGCCATGACAATTTTGTTGACGACATCTTCAATTTTACAAAAAGGTACCGCAGTGTTAATAATCGAGATACCCCGTAAAAGTGTATAAAATTTCTATCAAAATATGTGTTGTTAATAATCCCAAATAAATTTTGATTGATTCCCAGATTTTTATTTGCTGTCTCTTCATAAACAAATTTTCTCGCAAACCAATCATCAATTAAAAAACTTAAACAATACGCTTCTAAACAAATATTTATAAATCGATGTAGATAGATAGATAGTTGGTAGTTGCTTTTGAATTTTTTAATAATAATAATAATCCGTTAATTTCATTTGTTAGATTGTTTATGATGCAATGTATTAAAACTGTAGAGTGAAAACTTCTGACATCTCTCATTGATATTTAGGGTGTACGAATTATAAAATTACTTAGGGTCAGTTTTAAATGTGCCGCAATTAATGTTAAGTAGCCTAAATAGGTTTTGCAGTATATTTATCGAAATTAATATGAAATATTTGCTGCAAAAATGTTCCGATCATTTGGCAACTTAAGGTTATTTGATAGCTATCGCGAGTGTCAGTCAGAAAGTGAGATGTGAAGAGAGGTCGGATTAGGTTACGAACAAATTATTACTATTAATACAGGTGAATACTAAGTCAATACATTTTACATATACATTTAACATATAATATATATTAGATATAAGCGTGTTTCTACTACTACGTCTTTAGTAATTTAACGCTGCATTAAGATATATGTTAATTTATTTTAGTGCTATGCAGGCAGTCTTGTCGGAGTCTTTTGGTGATTGTAAAAGATTCCGCTATGCTACATCCTATTTTTGTAATGGTGTTTTTTAATTTTTTGCTGAAAAGGGATTAGTAAAATTTCGCTTTCAGCAATTTAAAAATTATTTTTTTTAATGTGTATAAAGCTCCAAAATTCTGCAAGCTCAACATTCGGAATTGCACACGAGGGTGAACGCAGCCAAATTAGCTCACTAAACAGAACTACAGGCAGAAAGGAAACTCTAATAAATGAACATGGAAAGAATGCTATCAGAAGAATAATACACTCGCTTTACTTTTAATAAAATACCTATGTTAAAGAGATGATCGAATACATTGAAGAAAATGAATTTTCGTACCGAAATAACTTAAAACAGAAAATCAATTTCAATTATTTTAATTCACTGCTAACCATCTTTGAAAGTAGTTACTTTCGATAGGAAAACAAGAATATCTATCATCAGGACAAAACTTGGGTAAATGAAACGAAATGGGTAAAAATAGGAATAGCGGTAGGCAAGCTTCAATGAAAGGATGGAATAGAAGCGCTCTCAGGAAAAGGTGAAAGATTCGTAATTACTCTTATTTGCTGGAAAATGAATGTGTCGGTGGTGACTTACTAGCATCTAAATCAAAACGGACCCGGGACTATCATGAAGACATGAATTCGAATGAGAATATCCGATAAATATCCACGTCTTCTTGGAAAAAGATGTTATTATGCATTGGCTTATTTTGAATAAGAGGCAATTTCAGAAAGATATGCTAGAGATTGTAGCAAGACGTAACACCATTTTCTTTCCTCTTGCAAGAGTAAATAAGCACAGCAATTTTTAAATTTTCGAAAGATGAATTCGACCTGACATTTGATTTGGCATAATTTGGGCCTACTAAACTTAAATCTGATAAGCACTTTCCTCAATCACGTAAGGTTTTTTATCAACATTGAAAGAATTAATAAAATAAAATCTAGATTGATTTAAATATTATTTTTGTTAGTGCAAGAAAAAAACTGAACTAAGAAATTTTAATTAAATTAATTAAGTCTCAAAGTTTAGTGCTTATATTTTTGGAAGATCTCTCTCATGGCCGAAAAAATTCGTTTAATGGATTTTCTTGCATATGTATACAGGGGATACTGGAAACTGTAAGAGATACACAAATTTTGCCTATTATAGGAGCTGAAATGCTAAAAATGGGGCCAAAAAAAAAGTCCTACTTTGTTACGCACTGCCGAAGTCAACCTTTTTGGTTTTATGGGCACCATATAGAATTTCTCCATGTTCAAAATCCCCCTTTAAATGCTTTTCAACCATGTGTAGCACATTTATATTTGGTCAAGATAATTCCTTAAAAATAACAAAAATAAGATTTTACAATAGGTTTAACGATAGACTTTGATATCGCTATTTTTATTTTCTATCAAGTCAAGTCAAGAAATGTATTTCATTGAGGTTTTGAGGTCATGTGCGAGTAAATTTTTGTTTCGAAGCCTAGAGGCTAAAATTTCGAAAAGATTCTTAGCCAAACCTAAATCTCTTACTAAATCATTCAGTTTTGATTGTGAATAACTGTGGTTGCTAACACTCACATATCACCGTAATTTATTTCAGGTTAAGAAGAACCGGTTGTATCTTCTTCTAAATTGGTTTGATTCTCAGGTTTTGCGAGATCTACGCCATGTGGCACTGGTCTAATTGCAGATTTGAGTTTCAGAAAACCAATGTTTTTCAAATTTTAAGTATTATATCCACGAACATGCAGAACTCACCATGGTGATTTTTTGTCTTTCTCGATATCATGGTTATTACAAAAGGCTGGGATCGCCTGCTTATTCCAATGTCCTAAACCTTCTTAACATACTTTACAAACAATATGTGGCGCCCAAGGTTTGTCTTGATCACCAATTTTTCCTTTCAACTAATCCTAGTATTTTTTTTAAACAGGGGGTAATTTACGTCTAAATTTCTTGACCACAAAAGAACCACACACATAGCTAAACCTATCGAGAATAATTTTACAAAGTCTTGGCATTTTAAAAAGAAATTTAACTCACAATGATCACTAACCTTACATACTGCCACGAACCGACTCGGCAATGTTTTGACTCCATCCAATCCCAGAACCTATAGTATTCTTTTGGGGATTCCCCGATAATATTCTGTTAATTTATGCAAAATGTATGCATATGGCGTAGTAATTTAAGTTTTTAGAAGTTTATTTAATGATCCCATTTTTAAAACAATAAATATGACATCTGCAAAATGTTGCGTGATAGAAACAAAAAACAACATTGTTTTTCCATTAGTTTTGTGCCTATAACGCCGAAAATAATACAAGTCGCAAAATTTTGTTGGCTTGTGTAATAACAATATGCTTTATTCGTTATTCTAATAAACTACGTTTATTAGAATTACATTAAGAAACATAGGAAAACTGCAGGGTAAAATCAAAATTACCATGGTTTTTTTGAACAAATTGACACGACGCTATATTTCTTTTTCTTATGGTTCATGAATAATATTTCAAGTGGTAATGCTAAATTCCATCGTCATCCTTTCATATTCAACAGCCCCCTTAAAAAATATCATTTAAATGCTTAGGTGCGATTACAAAATTCCCTAAAATTGTCTGATCACCGAAACAATCAGTCTTACTTCTACCTACCCGAAATAAACCAAGACATAAAGCAAAGACAAATAAATCAATCGCCATGAACTTCGTACAACATAAACTGTTCAGATTTCATCTTATCAGCAATCCTTATTGAATATATAAATTCGTATATAAACCCGGAAACTGCCAGCTCTATCAGAAATTCGAAAACAATCATGCATAGACTTTTAAGTTTGGTTTTTCTTTCAGTCGCGGTGAGTAAAATTTATTTTTTCCAGTTCGTATATTTTTGAGTAACTATAGCTTTCAAAAAGCTAACCCTTCATTCCTATGAGGCCGGGGTTTTTGTACGTTTGGTCTTTTATTGTTCTGTTGACGGTAAAAACGCTAAATAACTAGTTTCGTTTTAAGCTGGCGCAAGATTTGGTCGTCGATCTTCCAGATGGAACAATCCGAGGATCCGAAATCACGTTCCAGAACAAGAGTTATTACGCTTACAGGGGAATTCCGTTTGCAACTCCTCCTCTCGGCAAACTGCGGTTTCAGGTAAAGAATTAATGGAGTAGCGTACAGCCTGATTATGTTTCAGGAACATGGTTCCGATTTTTTTTACTATCGGTGCCTGAATATTGTAGCTTGGTATATACTGGAGTACATGCCTAGACGGATTCATATTTCTATACCAGAATACTCTCCTTAAATGCCCACTCAACGCCTTCAAGCGTTTTAGAGCCGTCAGTGAACCATTCCTGCCTCAATGAGATCAGCCTCTTGCTGAACCCATCCAGTTTAATATTTTCTTCTTCTGTTGGTGTCTTTCCGATCATCGTGAAAGAGATCAGTACCATATGTCAAGCTTTTCTAATTTTCTCCTGTTTTCCAATGATTTGTCCCTGCGTATCTTCCTGCGTGTGTTGTCATAAAGCTGCAAGTTGCCAGTAGGCTTGCTAATAATTACGATTACCTGGTCCAGTAGTCTTTGATTTATGGGCAACATTAATGAATCAGTCTGTATTATATGAGCAATATAAATTAATATTTCGATTATTAGGATTTAGAGATTAGATTTGTAGGAAGCAAAAATTATAACATAAAATTTACTTAGTTTCTTTATCCTTTTATTTTTAGAAATATTATTTCGAGACAACTGGACGTGGACGATGTTTTCGATAGACTTGTCTTAGAAAAAAATGTTAAATACAAAAGTTTTAGATATGACTAAAAGAAACAATTTAAAATTATGTTTAAATCCATATTATTGCATTACTAGATACGTCCTTTTATACTCAATCACCTAATGTAGGGTTGTACCGAGTGTTTTTTGATTGATTGATATCCATTTTTTCGACAAAAAACTTTGAGTTTAACATTACTTAAATGTTCAAAATTCAAAATTTTAATGCGGTGTCAGCGATGCGTTATCTTCGCTTAGCTTTGGGCTTCGTCTGCAGTTTGGGACATATAACTCGTTCTTAATTTTTAACTTATTTTTTGAGGTCTATACATTTTTAAGAACACAATACTCAAAATGTTCAAACCTTGCGAAAATGACACAAGCGATTAGTATAATTCTTTTAGATAATAGCATTATTAACATCGCTAATAGTTCCAGAAAAAACACTCATCAAACTTACATTTGTACTCAATCTGAAAACATATTTATAGTTCAAGAATGTTTTAGACTTTAGGAAAAACAGAATTTCTAAATTGATGGAAAGAAGACATTTTTTTCACAAAATTAAAAATGTATCTATTTCTTTATAGTTTTCTTGGCTTATTGCGACATTTTCTCATAATTTGACAAATGTCGGAGTTTTGTTCGTAAAAATTTTTACCACCTTAAAAAATAGTAAGTTTAGGTATGTAGTAGTAGTGAATGCTTATTTCAATTGAAAGAACATTAATAGGAGTAATTAACGAAAATATAATATATAGGGTGTTCCATTTGATTTTTTCACGAAAATTAATATTTTTCGTTTTGACTCATCCTGTATAAACGTTTTGAACTAACTTCAGGACAAATATAGGATTAATGACTGTACTATTTTATAAAATCCGAAAACACTCGGTATAAACCAAAATAACCATAAATTGGGTATACAACGGAGTATCTATCTATTATTAATATACAAAGTGATCCATTTAGAAATATATGAATTTCGTTTCCTACGTATTAATGAATCGCACTGTCTGTTCAAAAATAATTTTAAATTGTTTTTTTAGTGTTATCTACAACTTTTGTATTTAACAAATTCAATTCATCAATTGTGATTCAATTAGTTGAAACATTCTTTGATTTTAATTTCGATATTTACAGGTGCGATATGTTTTTGTTTCCAGGCTCCATTACCTCCTGAACCGTGGGATGGCATCCTAGAGACCAACGAAACGAAAAGCTGTTGCATAGCCATGATACCATATGGCCAGCAGAGTGAAGATTGCTTATATCTTAATGTATACACGCCCGCAAGAAAGGCAAGTACGAATTATTTTGAACGGTGTGTTGATAATATAGGGAGGCACATGAGTCTGTGTGTGTCTACGCGCAGAAGACAAAAATTGAAGTTTTAACGACTTTTAAGCGAAGTTCGGCTCATATTACCTCCATCATTCAGTATATTTTTTCCCATATGTCATTTATGTTTTATGCAGGGTGGCCATAAATTAATGGAACGCACCTTAAGATCATATTCTTCGTCCAATATAAGCCCCATATGATTCCATTCCATATATTAATGGTACCGGTAGCCCACTGATACCGTATTGAGCCCGGGCTCGGCAACGTTTTCCTTGTATTTGATTTCATTAGTTGTTGCCGTCGTCCCACCCAAAAATTTCGGGAGCTCATCAGCGACGCGTAGATTCTCAGGAAAACGTTCAAATAGTTCAAAGCATGCACCTAAGACGACCTATTTATATTTAATTTTATACCGAGTAGATATTATTCGCATCTTGTTTAGCCTTTTTGTTGATAATATATAGGTATTTTTCGATTGTTGTAAAGCCCATTGTAAAATATACTTAGTACATAGTATTCGCACCTTGGTTAGCCCACTAATCTTAATACAAAAAAGGTACTCCTGGCAGTAGATACCGAAAGGCGGTTTGGATGAACATAACCTCAAAATACAATCGCCCCCCGCGGGGAACCGCGATCCAAAAATGCCCATACCCATCTTATATATTTATAAAAATTTGAATAGTAGTACGACACCACATACACAACCCATCGGAGAATTTTTTCACATATTTTAGAGAAACCTAGCAGAACGTGAGCAATGAAAAAGTTTCGCGGTTCTTTCAGTTTTGTGACGTACGTAAATAAATTTTTCGGGTTGGTAGAATGACCCAAATGCAAGGACTACTTTCTTACCATTAGCTAAAAGTGCAGAATTTGAGACTCCACGGCTTACCGATTCGTTTAGAATTTTGCCAATTGATTCTGAACCGCCAATATATTTGGGACATTTTTTATTTTATTTCACTTTTTATTCGTTTTTACTTTGGTTTTGACTTTTTCTTTGAATGCAGCAAAACTTTCACTTCGCAGTCCCATTTTATTCTCGTGATGCACATTATTTTTTGCTATGCAATTCAATGATAAAACAACCTTTTTTGGAGGATCTTTAGTGTCTAATAGTAACAAACAAAGCGACCTGAATTTCCTATCTATAAGTACCAATTTATGTTTTGGGTAACCGTTGAAATAATTCCTTTACTTTTTTTATCACATTCATTGCTTTGTGGCACTAGTGAAAAAGAAATAGGACCCGACGCTACTTCTAAATCTAAGAAAAACAAAAAAAATATGGTTTTAGAATAGTTTTCTATCGCCTTTTAAAATAATTAGATAATAAATGTAGCACAGTCTCTCCCAAACCAAAAAGCTTTGAAAGTGGTGCGAAAAGATTCACCATCTTCTACGCATCAGGGAATTTACTCGATGAGAGGCACTTATTTCTTTATAATAGTTGTGATGTATTTTGTCATATTTTGTGTTATATATTTAAGACTTATGCCGTTATCGCCTACAGAATTTGTCTTAATCACAAAGGCAAACACAAATTTGTCTCAGTATAATTGAATTGAGAGTTGTCACGAAGCGCCATTTTTACTTTCAAAGTTGGAGGTAACCATGGCTTAGACGTTTTAGAAGTTCTTAAAGAGGCATGTAAATGAAACAGAATAAGTAGGTTTTTATTAAGATAGTCGACCATGCCGTTAATAGTATCTAAAAAGAAAATATGATCCCCATGTACTGATTTTAGATCAGCTAAATTCTAATTTCGAAGGTTGTGAATTTCTAGGCGAACTCGAAATTATCTTCCTTAGAAGGCACTCTGTCGCTAGTAATACACTAAGAACAGCATATTAGCAAATCAAAAATGGTGTCAAACGTCCTGTTCGATTTTTAAAGGAAACTTACACAGACCATAGGTTATACTATTTGCTGCTACTGGACTCCTGCTACTTCGATTGTTGATCGTCAATCCTGGCATAGTAATTTTAAAAGTAAATAAAGAAAAGAACACAAACAGAAGAAAAAAATCAAAATTTTCTTGCAGACGGATCATATGGTCAATTTAATGAAGGTCATCTCTGGAATGCAAACTTAAATCTAATTCTCCTCCCTCGACTCTAAAATTTCTCGCTTCTACACACTTCTTATGATTCCTTTTCTCTATTAATACCCTTTACAGGGAAAACTTATAGTCCAGTACTTTATTCCTTGCACTGCATTTACCAATTAAAAAATATTTCATTAGATCCAAACAATATTCTGGTTAGTTTCGAAGTAGAGTCTCTCCTTACTAAAGTTCCTATTATTCAAACACTCAACATTATTACAGATGCATTAGTAGTATAGTAGTGCCGGTTCTAAGCCACTTTTGGATTATACCCGAACACACCCGAACATACCCGAAGATTCAAAATTTTCAAGCGCCAACCCGAACACAGCTGAACATTCATGAAAGTTCAAATTTTCCCGCCAAAAGTGGCTTAGAATCGGCACTACTTACACTAAAATCTGAGAATGCTTGCCTTGAACATATTTTACTTGTAACGGTAAAATTTATGAACAAATATTAGGGTTCTCCATTATCACACTTTCCATCTACAACAACTGCGAAAACGCTCCGTTAATGATACTTTTAATTAGCCTCATGGTCAAGAAGCATTAAATCACAAACTACTACTAATCTCTCATTCTTAGGTATTCTTATTAATAGAATATCAGACCTTACCTTGGGTCATTACGTTTACAGAGAACCTTCGTACATGAGCATAGGCTTAATGCCTTGTCACATCACTATCCGGCTCAGAAGTTATCGGTTATTAACTATTTTGTGACCAGAGCCCTCACTCGAATCTCTATTCTCAGAATTAACACTAACCATAATTTTCACATTAGAAATATTAAGAACTAACACTTCCAACACCACAACCTCCCAAAGAAAATGTATTCTAAAGAAATTCAATAATTCAAAATGTTACCACATATCAAAAGTTCTTAAGACATATAATGTTAAAACCAGATTTACCACTCATCTAAAACTCTCAACATCTTGGATTCATCATTCCGTTTGAGATACCAGAAGTTTACAAAAATACATTGGTGACAGGACAAAAAATATCATTTAGGCCAAAAGGAAATGGAAGAGCCTTAAGACTAAGACAAATAATCTCATCAGCGGTTGCCGAACATAATCATAAAACCGGATATCAAATCTTGTTCTTAATTAAATTCCACCAAAAGAACATCCAGGACGATGGTCATGTCCCTCTTTTAGCTGCGAGCCCCTCTAACCAGATACAGTAGAATGCAGACCAGTTTCCGGTAAGCAGGATAATTGACGAAACGATTCATCAATTAATAGTTCTGTCGATTCAGTTACACATTGACATAAACGGTACTTGTTTAGCAAGATTTAAATTGACAAGAAATTTGTGCTATTTTTAATGGAAAAATCAATGTTAAAATATACCCCAAATGTGACAAAATCATGCTCAAGCAATATACTCCAAAGCCTACTACAACTGGTCAGGAAATTGCGCTGAGCTGGAATTCGGTTTGAAGTTGAAGCTGGGCCCCTATGCCAAATATATCGAACACCAAATATATTCACACCTTCCGTCATCATATTAAAAAGCAAATATGCAAAATAAACTTTTCACTTCAACTTCATTCTTTTTAGAAACTACTAATCAGATAAAAAAAATAGGCTGTTTGAAAGACAATTTAATACAAATAGGGTAATCAGCAATTCAACACTTATTTTTTTAATAAAGGGTCTGACCCCCTCTTGCCCTATTAACATCTTTTACTCGATTAGGCGGAGATCTAATCATGTTCGCTATTGGTCCTCTCTCCACTCTTCCTCTACTACAAGCTCTGGGATCGAGGTTGGGGTACGCAGTCTAGCTAAAATTCTCCGTGTACCTCCATAAGGGCTGCGCTTTTCATTGCAGCATTCTGCAAATCGCTTTCATGGTCTTCTGTACACTTTTTTCGTCGGTCACTACCAAAAAGGCATATTCTGGTCTCATCAATGTCCAATTCAGATGATCCCGTGCAAAGCGTAGCCGTGCTTGTCGGTCGGCTGGAGTAAGTTTTGGACCAATTGCAGTTGTTTTTGGAGTCTCACTGTCCACTGACTAATCGCCACTCTTCGAACTTCATGGAGCTGTTATTGAGCTTGAACCGCATTAAGGTGACGATTTCTTAACATTGCTGAAACAATAAAGCAGTCATCACGAGCCGTTGTAATTCGCCTCTGCCTGCGCCCATAGCGCCCAGCAAAGGATTCAGTCGCCTCATAAGGTTGGCATACTCTTTGAACTACAGCGCGTTTCATACCCAGTTGTCGAGCAACAGCTTGCTGGCAAATTCCATTTTCGATTAAAGCGATAACTTGAGCGGCTTTTTGCAGTGTAGTATGCATCAAGCTTATACAATTAAACACTATCCAAATGGTTAAAAACGAATAATGTGACAATTCCAGTTGCAAAGGCGATTAATTTAAGTGTATAACAAGTTTGTTCCTATCACTATAACTATTCCACGAACACGTTTCATTTGTTTAACCCTAACTACACATATAATAGATCAGCATTCTTAAAAAATTTAAACTCATACTAAAGCACATTAGCACGCTTATACTTAAGTCAAGATTTTACAGTAGTCCGATTTCTATAAATATTGATTATAAGTAGTGTTCAACTTGTTTCTAGATCACCGAGAAATTACCCGTAATGTTGTGGATATATGGAGGTGGTTTCTTCATTGGATGTACGGATGACGTTTCAGGCGGACCTTTTTATCTCTTAGACGAAGACGTGATAGTCGTGTACGTCAATTATAGGCTGGGGATGTACGGGTTCCTATCCACCGAAGACGACGTAGTTTTGGGCAACGCCGGACTGAAGGACCAGTTGTTGGCCATGAAATGGACAAAAAATAATATCGCTCTTTTCGGTGGTGATCCAGAAAAAATAACGATATTCGGTGGAAGTGCAGGCGGTATTTCAGTCGGGACGCATATTGTGAATCCAAAATCAGCCGGACTGTACAGGGCGGCAATTTGCCAAAGCGGTTGTTCGCTCACTTATATAGATTCTGTAATTCAGGACAACGCCCGGCAAACAGCGTACGACTACGCAAAATACGTAGATCCGACAATTACCGAACAAAACACGACCACGGAAATTCGAGATTTTTTACAAAGCCTGCCGACCGAGGTATTGACTCCGGCATTCTTCACCAATATTCGCGTAAGTGCAGATAAAATGATAGTATACAACACTGTAATGGGGAAATCACCCAATTTATAAGTGGCGCACAGAAATATTGTTCAAATTAACATTATTCTGTGAAAACTTCGACAGACTACTCTAATACTATTTGCAAATCTTCTGGATTGCTCCTGCGTCGGTTGCAAATAAATGAAACTTTTTTTACGTATCGCCAATCTTCCTGCTGGTTTCCACAGAGCTTCAGTTAATCACCAGTTTCAGTTAAGCTCTCAGAAGCCAACAGGATTATTGGCTAAACCTCAGCAAGCCTTATTCACAAATCTGTGAAGATTTTGTTTGTATATACATGTTAGGTGTGTAGTTTACAAACCACCTAAACTACTGGCTATTTTAATAGTAAACGCATTTTCGTGTAAGCAACGGCTATTTTATAAACTAACCAGGAGTTCGGCCCTTTTACTAAAAAGCCATATACCTTATAAACTATCTGTTGCTGCCTAGCTAATATAAGAACCATAATTTATTTTCTTCTTCGACATTTTCCTTTACGAGTTCACCGTTTTTGTCATCCACAGTTCTCTTACCTTCCAGTCCCCTACTCTGAGATCTCTATCAGTCATTGCATGTCCAATGTATGTCACCCATCTTAGAGCCAGCCGACCTCTTAGTCCAGTACGGGTTCTGGCAACCTGTGTTCTGGCATTTTCTATACTTAAACATACCATTGTAATTCTTTGTCTTCTAATTTCCTTGTTATCGAGCATTATATTCCAATTCGTGGCCAAATTTCTGCAGTTCTTATTTTGTCAGTTCTTGTGACTTGTAGACATCTTCTCATAAGTTCAATTCGGTCGTTCTTATTTTGTTTCTTATCGTTGTTGTCATTGGCCATACTTCTGCTCCATATAAGATGATATTCTGTATTATGCTTTGGAAGATTCTTTTTTGTTTTCTTTAGTAAGAAAGAGTATTGTTCCTTATCAGTCTATAAAGTGCTTTTGTGTCTTGTTTTTCTGGTGCTATTTTTGTCTATATATCCCTTAAACCTGTACCATCTCGGTAGATCCTATATAATTAAAAGTTTAATGATTTCTTTCTCTAAATTCAAATCTAAATCTGCCCAATACATAAATATTCGGTTTTATACATATTTATTTTCAGGCACCACAGTCCGTACTCTTCTTTTAGCTTTCTTGTCACGTATTACATGTCCTCTTTTCCTTGTGCAGAAATTATTCTGCTAAAATTAGTGAATGCAATATATTTCCTTGTAACGGTATGCCCATCAATCCACAATTCTTGTACTTTCTCTTTAAAACTTGTTCTATCTATTATTAAAAAGTGTGGGTGACAGGCCGCATCCTTGTTTTAGTGCTTTTGTTATGACATTTGTGTGTGTCATATGTGTTTCAATGTTCTTAGGTTTAGTCTTTGCTACGGCCTGTCTCATGATAAATATATTGTCCAGGCATGATCTATTTTTCTGGAATGCTGACTGTTCTTCGCTTAAATCATCCATATGTTGATCTATTTTTTCTTTTACCATTGTGGTGGAAAGTCTAGCGATTGAAGGGATGACACTAATTCCTCTATAATTGGTCGTTGACTTCTCATGTCCTTTTTTATATATGGAAGACATGTAACATAATTTATAGTAATAGAAAATTGCCAAACCTTTGACTAATTTATAAGCTAACAAATATAATAGGAAAAATTGGAGAAAACAGTATAAACTTGCAGACCTGCTCAGTGTGCAAAGAAGACGATTCATGTTTATTTTGCATAAACAGACAAAACACATGAAAGGTAAGAGCTTAACTGAAACTGAAAAGTTTCAGTCAAGCTCTGAAGAAGCCAACATTATCATTGGCGAAACGTCAGCAAATTCGACTCGGCAAAAACCGACCGATGCAATTAAACCAATTTTCTATCATAGATATTGCTCATCATGAGAAATCAAAAATCTTCTCTGTAACTCCTTGGTTCTATCTCATTTGAATCACTGCTTGTACAATAAAGTAGATTTTTCCCTGGGGAGACAAAATTTCGATGTTTTTCTAAAATAAAACTTTCATTTCGGAAAAAAACACGTTGCCTTTTTGCTGTTTGCCCACAAAATTTCACACATTGCCCACATTACCATTCTAAAATTCTTTATTAATGAGTTTTTTAGACGTCTTTCGTCGCTTTTACGAGAACATTTAAATCTTTTATAAAATACTTCGAATATCATGCTTTTTCTCACAAATTGTGCTGAAAAAAAAATTTGAACCTAAATTCGGTTGACTTTAGTCTAATTACATAGTTTAATGAAATACATCAAATAAAAGAAATGTGCTTACTAATCTGGATAGGTACATTAGGTTCTATATTGTAGACGGGTATATCCATTGAAGTTGAACACGAAGATGCTTACGTCACAAGCCACAGTTTTCCCCTACTAGATTCTGGCAATTTCAATCAAGTTCCCCTATTACTTGGAACTGCATCAGCGGAAATGCTTAGTTTGTTTAATATTGTGAATGGTAAGTTACAAAGATTGATTGATTGGAAAATGTCATTGCTGAAATTTCATAATTAACGCTATTTTTGTCGGCACTCGGAAATAAACCGGCACAAAGTGAACTTTAATTGATTTAATATACGCCGAAATCGCAAGTTTTCGACACTATGAATTCAGTGGATGCACATCCGGGTTTGAGCGGAAAAGACGGTAAATTTTGATTTTTTTTTTAATTTACTATAGAGTCTCTTTCTGAAACCTATTTTGTTATAAAAAAAAATAATATAATTTTGGTAACTGCATTTAGGCGACTGGTACCACAATAAATACTATTTTTCTACACTCTAGTGTGAACGGATCAAGTGTCCACCTTCGATACCTACGGATGGTTCTTGTATTCTAGTCAGGGCTTTGGGGCGATCGGAGTTTGTAAATTCTGTCACTGTAAATGTGTCGCCGTAATCGTGTTGTTTTGGTTAGTACCCATGTACCCAAAAACAAATAGTTCCAGAAAAAAAGTATATTATGCTACACTTCGATAAACCTTTTTAGTCTCCCATTATGAGAAGGCTTGTTTCCAGTTTCTCGGATTTTAATCTATTTGAAATAATGTTGAAGATTTCAAGGTTTAGTAAAGACGAATTCTATTATTACTATAATTAGGTACAAAACTCTAAGGTTTCCCTGGAAAGGGTTTTAATATAGAAGCTAGATATTTTGCTACAGGATTTGTTGGAAAACCAATGGCGCTGACAATAGGTCGAAGGGGTAATCCTGGATTGTAAATATTAGGGCGTCCATAGAGACAACGAATTTTACACTCATGATGGGTAACAGACATTTTCTCATATACTGATAGAGAAGAAACCTTAATAACAGATTTACGGATGCGTTTCATAGATGACGTACGATCTTTTTTAAGTTAACAATAGGTTCGGTCTGTGATAATATCTTGAATCTTTTCCTGATATTCATTTGTCGTTGATGACCACGGTAATATTTCTTTTATCTGCTTTTAGAATTATGATGTTGGGATTAGATTTTACAGATTTTCCAGCTATGCCTTCAGGCTTTGGAATATTAGATTTAAGAGGTTTGGATTTCTAAGGACTTTTGCGGTTTCAAATCGAATTTCATTAGCTGTTTGTGCTAGCAGTTTTTTCCAGCATTTGAAATGTTTTTTTTTTAATAATACGTGGGGCTGGGATGAAGTTTGAACCTTTATCAAAAACTGATTTTCCGTCAGTCCCATACATTTACAATTACAACATATGTATATTTCTTTTAACTTATTATTCTTGTTTGGCTCCAGAGTTATCCTCGTATATTTTGGGTGGACCACTAATATAGGAATTAAAAGATTTTAACATTTCTTTAATAGACATTTATTCAGTTACAGTATTTTACTCTACAATTTTTACTGACAATTTTGAATCGGACTAAGGTAGTTTAGTTAAACTGTAATTTATTATTTAATATAATTTAGTTAATTAACTTCGGATTTGTTTATACCATAAAATTCTAAATAGCATGAAATATATAAAACGGAATCATTTGACTTGAAATAGTACAAGCAATAATCACTTTTATTTCTGACAAAATTTCGCAAGTGCTATTTAATTAATTGCTTGGGACTTTCCTTTTTACCATACGATGAATGATATGTGGTGTTCAATATACAGATTGAATTTACAAAAATTTGCTAATAAAACTTTTAGTGTTTACTTTTTTAGTACTGGTGAGTATGAGTTATCAAAACAATCTGACCCTTAAAAGTCTCCTGCCACCATTGCTCTTGCTTATAAAGATCCATTACTCCTTTGTCCAAAAATCTTTAGAATGAGATACATGTTTTGAAGTCTAATCCTCATTGCATATATGAACGTATAAATGTCGTATATATAAATGGTTTACGCATTTGATGCTGATTTGACATTTTCACGAACTGATATAATTCTAAACTATTACTTTCTAACTTATTGCTTACCAGAATTTGTAGAGCGTTTGCAGTTGAGGTCCAGTCTGGATTGCTAGTGCTAATGGTTCTTCTCAAAAACACTGTTTTTTTTTATCGAAAGACATATTGTTTATCAAAAAGCGCATAGAATTTGTGGCTATATTAGAAATCAAAGAAATGGATCTGTAGGTGGTTATCCATATTTGTATAAATTGTAGGACTTCTGATCTTATTCTATCTGTGAAATTTGATGAATTTTTGAAATCATACTATCAATACCAGGTGTTTAATTTATTTTCTTTCGCTTCTAAAGTTTCATTATAGTTACTGTGTACAGTTACATGTAATTTTTTACGACTATCGTTTCTTATGAAACTTCAATTGCTCCAGCGAACTTGTCTCCCATTAAACTCAATATTTCAAAATTTCCCTATTTTAATACTTGTTAAATGTTTCAGACATATCCTTGTCGTTGTCCAGGATACACAATCAAGTTATAGCTAGTCCATAATGTTATTTTTTATGTTCACCTTTACTCATTGGTTTTTGGCTATTTTTTTACTTTATCTATATATTAAATCTAACAATCGTTTTTTGACCATTTTTCTGTTATTTTTTTTAACAGTTATCCTATTATTATCTTTGTATTTTGTTAAGGTTTGTGAGAAATTAGTGGTTACTAAGTTAGGTTCATTAGTTAGAAAGATTTTAGGCCACAAATTTTTGTGCGGCATTATCTTTATTAACCAAGACTTTCTTTGTGGTACGGGTAACTTCTTGTGTATAACTCCAGATCAAAAAGTTTCCGGAGTAACCACCGCGTGGCGTACACATTGTTCTAATTTGAGTTGCTTTTTTTATTAAATTAGTACATCTGTTGTTGACTTTTCCTCTAAATCTTAGCGTCATAGCTTTACATTTGCAAAAGTAGCCAAGAATATATTTATCGCTGTATGTGCTGCTAATTTTTTACAATTTTGAAAATGGGTTTAATGAGGCGCGAACGCTGGAAATTTTGGAAAAGTGTTTCGGCAATGATTCTTTAAAGAAAAAGGTCATTTACCAGTGGCATGACTGGTTCAAAAGTTATCGTGATTCATTCGAAGACCGACGAAAAAATTGATAAAGTAACAAAAATTTTGGTCAATAATCGCGAATTAGTCTTTATAGAGATAGAGGAGGACTTAAAATTGTCTATGTATCTTATGGAGATGTTTTGGTCAATAATTTCGGTTTCCGTCGTGTAGCAGCAAAATTGATTGCAAAAGACTTCAATTTCATGCAAAAAGGAGGCCGTGTTGACATAGCAAAGGAGATAATCCGGGAAATACAATATGTAGTTTTTTTTTTATTTCTACTCAACTAAACTGATAATCGGTAATGCTCGTTTCGATAATGTAAGAATTTGGTGCCTAGTTGAAATCATCCGGACACTCCATGACAAGAAAATTATCCAGAGATATTTCTGATTGAGGTCGTGTAAATATCAACAAAAGGAGTCTAATTACATATATTTTGCTAGTCCTTTTCTTTAGTTTTATTTGAAAAAAATCGTAACATTCTTTATTCATTTATTCATTATTTTTGCAGTCGATATAGCCGCAGCATTTTTTGATTGGGACGTGACCACCGTAATACCTTCTGATCTGCTACTAAAGCCGAGTATCAACGCGACGGAAGTTGGGTCGATAATCAAGGACGCATACGTTGGCCCGAATGGATCGTTTAGTGAAAATTTCGGTGCAGTGGTAGAAGTAAGTTATTTAAATTTCAAAAATCAATAAATACTCTATCATGCATAATTGTGGCAACAATTTCCACTAACAAGAAAATGTGTTACTAAATAATACTTTTTATAACACTATTTCAAAATATGAAGAAGAAGATGCGGCCACTTTGTCTATTTCATTTTTCCCAAGTTCAACCAAAAGCAGATTGTCTCACAACTTCCATCATCAACCTAATACCTCGGTTTCTGGGTTGAACTCTAAGCTCCTATTTACAAATCTTCTAAATTCCTTCTGCATCGGTTGTCCATAAATAAAACTTGCTGACATTTCAGAGGTTCACTAAAACTGGTTTGGATTCTTTGTACCTGCGAAGCTAAAGGAGGGAAATATGAGCACAAAACAAACTTCACCTCAACCTTCCAAAGACAATGAGTCTGAAAGCAACCTCATACTTGTCACGGTTGTCCCTCCTTGCATTCAAAACATCAATGACCACATATTAAGAATTCTTAATAAATATGAAGTTAAAACCAGCTTAACCACTTGTCCAAAAATCTCTCAAGATCCTCGATCTCTCACCACAATCTTGAAGCCGGACATCAAATCTTATTCGATAAAACTAAAATTCTTGAATTCTTAGAAATCTATAAGCAACCAATCTTAACGGCAACTCGCCTTTACTTTACCAATATGAGAATCAGTAATCCGAGACAGTGTTCATGCACCTCCTTCAGCTCCGCCTCAAAGCCAATTTCATTTCGCAGGAGGAATCCAGAACATTTGTAAATAGGTTTACAGTAGCCTGTGGATTTTTTTTTAACTAAGCTCCTAGTAATGTAGTACATAGTAGATTTACGATATGTTACCAAGGTATACTTTCAGATAACCAGCGACCTGACGTTCGTCAAATCAACGCTGAAACAGGCTGAAATTCATTCAAATTTTACTCCCGTTTATCTTTATCAATTTTCCTACCGAGGGTCTTTAAATTCGCTTCCAATCATAGAAGGTAACTACACCGACGGCGAGTTTGGAGAGCTTGCTATGATTGAAATTTGCTTCAGGGGCGGGAAAAGCGAGCCACGGAGCAGAGAGCCTATACCTCTTTAGCTCACTGTCAGATCCGTCACTCACGGATGGGGACATCTTGATCCGCAAGCAAATTGTCAGACTCTGGACAAACTTCGCTAAAACATTGTGAGTATCATTCCTCTTCTTCACATTGCTTCGACTTTATCAGAGGTTTAATAACATCAACCTGATTTTGGAAACTGCTATTTTGAAAAGATCTACAGAAGAGATGTATCATTTTCGCATATTCTTCTCCCCACAATCTTCCCCTGGATTATCTTTGAAGTACCAAACCTCATATTTTCGACCCCGAATTATATGACTCCGATACCAGATCTTTCTTCGATTGGCTTCGTCTTTGTTCATTCCGAGCAACACTTCTGCGTTGGTCGTGTCGTGTCGTGTGCCCAGGACATTCTAAGCATTCTTCTGTAGTTCCACGTCTCAAATGCATATATTTCGTACATTCTGTTAAGAGCCAAATTTCTACGCCATCATACAAGGAAAAATTAATCGCATCTGCATTATTAAGACATTTAGGGATAGTTGTTTTTTTAGTTCACCCCACTTTTCTCTAGAATAAGAATTTTTAAATTGTGTTTGCAATTATATTTTATATCCTAACTGACATCGATGTGTAGTTCCTAATAAAAGGCGGAAAGACAGTATCAGAGAGTATGGAGAGAGAAAATAAAAGTGGTAAGGCTTATAATGCTGACTTATATTATGAAGTCAAGCTTTCGCCCATGAATATAGGCTTTATCAGAACACTAAAATTGTTATTGTTCCGTTGTTTTCTATCTAACTTAGGTTTGTCATTTGACATAATTGAATGAAAATATTTATCTCGTTAAACACATGCTCAAAAAAGGATGTTGTCATAGAAAGCTTTTACCTCTGTGTAAATTTGTGATTATTATTTTGTATTTATGAAATGCTTATAGCTTACAACTGTCCATTTTTTGGTAATTCTTTGGTCATGTAATAGTTAATCCCATCCGATTAGTATTTTAAACATTTTAGTTGATCGCTGGCGCGAAAAAGTTTTTCCATAGTTTTAACTTTCTCTCCATGAGCGCATTCCCAAATTTCAGATGGATATCCACGCCCATCTGGTTAAAAAAGTTCCCTTACTCATTGCAAAATCAACTTGGGTAGTGGCGGTCACCTAAATTTTAAATAAAAAAAATTTGGGGGTTAAAATAAATTTTACTTGTATACAACGTTGGACACAGCTTTGCCGCCTCCATAGCCTCGTCTTTTCTTTGTTTCTCAGTTCTTCTCTTCCAATGAAACCATTGATATGAATAAATAAGTCGCGTTTGATGCTTTCAGGAACCCTTCACCTGATGCCACGGACCCATTATTGAATCTGACGTGGCCTCAAGTTTCGCCAAACAATATACAGTACTTAGATTTCGATGATCAGATTGCAGTAAAGCCAAACAGAAAGGAAAGGCAAATGGCCATGTGGAATGATGTTTACTACACGTACGGCCAGCAGCCCTTCATTGGATTTTGAAAGTTTAAATTTTAATGTGAAATTTCGATATATAAGTTACCTAGACTGGTGATATTTTCCGTGTTTAAATTTAAATTGCGCAAAATAATGTATACAGAAATTGTAAAGCTACATTTTTTGTTGTTGTTGTAGTATATTTCATTTTGTTAGTTACCAATCTTTCAATTATTGTAATTGGGCAAATTTTATCTTGAAGAGACAATTCAGTGGAGTCAATAGCAACCATCCGAGAGAGACAACCCATTGTTTACTACGCTCAATCTCTATTGATATGCACACAGACCAAATATATTCCCACCAAGAGCCATCTTGACCAAGCTGCGAAGGAGCAATGTCCAAGGAATATATCAAAATAAAAAATGTTGGTCGCGCGCCCACACACACACACACACACACACACACACACACACACACACACACACACACACATACACACACACACACACACACACACACACACACACACACATACACACACATACACACACTCATAGTAGAGTTGTTCGCGTCCGTAGGCTTTACTTTTTTACACCCTACACGTGCTTTCCGGGTAGCGCCAAATGAACAACACCGGAGCTGAAGAGCAACAGCCATCATCCGTGTATCCGTCGGAGAAAGCTCGCTGTTCTTTGTAACAGAGGGTAGGAGCGAAATAAAATAGCTCCTACGGTAAAAGACAAAAACTCCATTTCAACAGTGTTGGGTGGGCCAAACATCGAAGACCAGGGTCACGCTTACAAGCGGATACGGTGACGCTGCTCGAAAGAGATGTGCGGTATGATCCGTATAGCGCAGCCTACGTGGTAACTCCCGGCATCTACGTGCCGCGCCCTTGGGAGCACAAGGAGGCCAGTGATGGAAGAAGGTGCACGGCTGGAGCAGATGCCTTTCCCTGCTCCAATAGCCACAAGCTCTCTCAGTCATGGCGGTAGCTGTGAGAGTGATCACTCCTCCACTTTCTGAGGCACCGCGTTCGGAGACGGCCTTTTGTTCCGGAGTATTATATAAATGTATGGAAACTTTAATTAAAAACAATGACAACAACGAAGAGATGAGAAAAGACGTCCAAATGGACGTTGAACAGAGTGCAAACAGCACCATAACAGGTACTGAAAGTAAGAATGCCTACAACTCCATCTACCGGGAGCAAGTGTACTCGACACCTTCCAATAGCGGCCTCCAAACCCCGATAGAGAGACTCGGCTCAACAATCGGCGAGCTGCCAGGTCAATTGACACGGAGTGCCAACCTGGCACTCAGAGATTTTACGGCATCCGCGAGAAGGACTCAGAACACGACCGTTAAAACAACGCAAACATCTCCCGGGACTACTGTTCAAGCGGGTCTACCGTCGACACCAAATCCTAAGCCCCAGGAGTCGAACCCCCAAAAAAGATCGATATCTACACCTAGCCCAACTTCCGGCCAAGATTTACGAACGTCCGAAAAGCACGCTAAGGATACCTGGACCGAGGTGACTCGGAGGAGAAAAAAGAAAATAATTCAACAGGACTCGGCAGTAGTACTGAAGGTGGCTCAAAAACCACATGCCAACGACGTTCCGCGGGCAATCAGTCATCGTAAGGTGGATCGTCGAAAACCAAGAACAAAGGCCATTCTTGTGCAACCAACCGAGGGTCGAACGTACGCTGATCTTCTCAAGGAGATCAAAGCCAAGGTCAACCCGACAGAAACTGGAGTTGACATAAAGTCCATAAAACAAACAAGGCGCGAGGGCGTTCTGCTAGAAATGACCCGCAAAACTGAAGACAGCACCGCGTTCACGGCCGCTATTTAGACAGCAGCCGCCAATATCGGTACCGTCAGAACGCTGATACCTACAGCTACGATAGAGATTCTAGACCTGGACGGAGTCTCCACTGAATCTGACGTCCGTGATGCACTTGGGCGAGACTTCACGGCAAACCTCGAAATCAAGCGAGTCAAGCTAACTGAAGTTACCCAACGAGGTCAAAGAGCGGCTTTTTGCGAGATTGACGAGACCAATGCGGTCAAGGCCCTTAATAAGGCTCGCATAAAGGTTGGGTGGGTTAGCTGCCGCGTACGGCCGGTAGCGAAAGTGGTACGCTGTGCCAGATGTCTCGGGTATGGGTACGCGATGCACTCCTGCAAGGGGCCAGACCGCAGCAAGTGCTGCTTCAAATGCGCATGAGAAAGTCACAAGGCAGCCGACTGCATCGAGCAACCGAAGTGCTTTCTATGTCCGAATGACGCTAAGGACAGCCTGTGTCATATTCCTGGCTCCGAAGCTTGTAAAGCGTTCCGCGCAGCTCTAGCTGAAGCGACAAGGGCACAAAAATTATCAGAGTCCTTCAAGGTAATCTGAATAGGTGCATACTAGCACAACACCTCCTTCGCCAAAGGATCTTTGAAGATAAAGTCGATATCTGCATCATCTCCTAACAACATTCAAACTTCCAGGGCGGGTTATGGTTCGCACATGAAACTGGGACAGCAGCACTATGGATCGCAAATACAAAGAACATTACCGCAATCAACAGCGGAAGTCGAGCAGGCTTTGCCTGGGTTCAAACCCCTACAGCCTACTTCATGAGCGTCTACCTCTTGCCTAACGAGGGAGTCAGTGTGTTCCGTCAGAAACTGGCTACCATAGAGGACGCTATCGGCAAGTTCAACGGCGGAGTCATTGTAGCTGGTGATTTCAACGCCAAATCGGCACAATGGGGCGCAGCGTTCTCTGATACCAGAGGCAATGAAGTCGCTGATGCCGTAGCAAGACTCGACCTCATTGTACTGAATACTGGAAATACCACGACATTCCGGAGACCAGGGTACCAAGAATACATTACCTTAGCGACCCCAAGGATTGCGAACACGATTGAGGGCTGGACCGTATCCGAAGAATACAGCGGTAGTGACCATCAGTTGTGACCTTCAGTGTTGGACTTGTACCTGCCTCGGCTGCGCAGTGCACCCTATACAAAAGGAAGTGGAACGCTAGCAAGCTTGGCCTTGATGCTCTACGAACTTTTCTCATAAGGAGCATACCAACTCTCCAGAGAAACCCCAATCCAAGCACCCGCAAGGAGACGGAAGAAATAGTGACAAGAACCATGAACGTTATTCTCGGCTCATGTAATGCTTCTATGCCACGACTGAAAGTTCGGGGTGCACACAGACTGGCATACTGGTGGTCAACGGAGATAACAGAATTACGAAGAACATGCCATGTGCTACGTCGCCGCGCAACGAGGGCTGCAAAACGTTCACCCGATCAGGAACTGTATGTGAACGAGTACAAGCAAGCAAAAAATACCTTGAATAAAACCATCAAAACAAGGAAAGCGACGCTATGGAAAGACTTATGCAATGACCTCAACAATGATATCTGTGGTAAAGCCTACCAAATTGTCACTAAACGACTTGGAAAAGCTGCACCAGAAGCGCCAAAACCCCCCTCCGTGATGTATAGCATCGTGGCGGAGCTGTTTCCCAAACACCCGCCGCGGAGGAAGAGACACTATGTTAAAAGTGGCGAAACGACTCCCTTTACTACCAAGGAACTGCAAGACGCGGCAAAGACCATCAAGATAGGAAAAGCACCCGGCCCAGATGGTATTCCAGCCTTGTAGACTGTAGCCCTAGAATACCCGGACATACTCCTGGGCACCTACAATGCTGGCACGTTTCTCACGGTTTGGAAGCGGCAGAGATTGGTCCTGTTGGACAAAGGAAAGGAAAGCTCAACACCTTCTTCGTTTAGACCACTCTGCATGCTTGACATCGCTGGGAAACCGCTGGAAAAGCTCATTCAAGGCAGGCTTCGAAACGACATTGACCGTGCTGGAGGTTTTACTACCAACCAATACGGGTTTCGGAAAGGTAGATCGACGATCGACGATCGACGCGATTCAGAAGGTGATAGAGACTGCAAGAAGAACATGGTCTGGTAGTCTCGAAACTCGCAAAGTATGTTTACTTCTAACATTTGACGTTAAAAATGCCTTTAACAGCGCGAATTGGGGAGATATTCTGGACGCCTTAGAACATAAATTTGATATAGAGCCAGACAATCTGGAAATGGTTGACAATTACCTCGACGAAAGGACGCTAATTGTAGAATCGACGGAAGGCCCGCAGGAGCACGACATAACGGTCGGCGTGCCTCAGGGCTCAATCATGGGGTCCGATCTATGGAACGCAGACTATGACCAGCTCCTGAGGATCCCGCTGCCGCAACAAGTGGAACTTGCGGGTTGTGCGGATGACGTTGCGGCTACAATAGAAGTGGACAGTGTCGAAGAAGCAGAATTAATAGTTCGGGAGACCACTGACACCATCGAAGCCTGGCTTGAGAAACACCACCTGACACTTGCCAAGCAGAAAACAGAGATGGTTGTACTGACTCGACAAAAATGGTTCCCTAAACCATTCACCGTAAAGATGGGAGGTACAACTTTGACGTCAACGACAGCTTTACGCTACCTAGGGGTAATGATAGACGAAAAACTATCTTATCAGCTTATCAAGGATCATGGCGAACACGATGGGACCTCGAACCAAAAAAAGACGAGTCCTCTTTGAAGTAGTTCACTCAGTACTGCTCTATGGAGCAGAGATATGGGCGGACATCCAAAAGCAGAAACACATACAGGCGCAAAATAGCAGCAGTGCAAGCGGCATTACTGGCCTATCAACCTATTAGCGTTTGAGAGAGCCAAGTTCTATTACGCTAAAAGGAAATGCGACGACTTCAAGGAGGCAAAAACAAGGATAAAAGCGGAAACCCAGCAAGAGTGGCAGGACCGATGGACGACGGGGGAGACGGGCAGATGGACGGAGCGTCTGATTCCGAACATCAATGTCTAGCTTTCTCGGAAACACGGGGACACAGACTTCTATCTGACCCAGCTACTGACGGGACATGGACAGTTCAACGTTTATCTTTTTAAGATGGGCTTACCATTATGTGTAAGTACTGTCCTGATAAAATTGATGACGCCGAACATACGTTCTTTGAGTGTGCTCGGTGGAAGGACTATAGAAGTAGCACCGAAGAGATCATAGGCGCCGGGCTCTCCTCCTCAAGTCTGGTGACGTCTATGATCGAACAGGAGGGAAACTGGTCGGCTGTTGCAACCTACGCACCGCGCCTTCTGAAAGATAAAATTTCAGAAAGGGACCAGTAGCCAGGAGTAGGCGCCATGGGGCGCAGCACGGACTGGATCGATGTAATGTTAACGCGGTTCCAATCCAGTCCTCCCGTATCATCTGCGGGGAGAGGGGAAGAGGAATGTTTTTTTTAGTGGGTAAAAATCTCCACACTACCGCCTATCGATATCTGCCGCAAGATGGGCGGCAGAGTTTACGATGACGGTGTCTTTTGAAGATTTTTTTTCGTACCTCTTTACAAAAAAAAAAACACATACACACACAGATAAATAAAGACTATTTTTATGTAACATTATGAAGCACAACAGGGCAACTATGGTCACCACGAGACGTTTTACTGACTGTCACTCGATAGACTTCCATATTAAACATTCAGAAACCTGTTGCTCCCTTTTTTTATTTTATTAATGTATTTATTTATTTACCCAACAGACATGCATCTCAACTAACAGTTAGGCAAGGAATGATGCTATTACGAGACTTAACCGAAAGTCTAGCTTCTAATAAAAAAAAACAGAATAGGAAATTAATAATTATAGTCAAAGGGGCAATAACGTTTCTACCTAAGTAATATATTGCGAAAAAAAGTTAAAATCGGGACGAGCATTGTACTTGGACCACATTGAAAAAATAGGTGGGTGTATTTGTTTTTGGTGGAGTCAGAAAGAAAGTGTTACTATGTCTCGAGTTAATACGGGGAACAAGAAAATTTAGTCTATTTCATATATCAAATCAATCAAACAAATTATGTAAAATTTTAAATTAGTAAGAGATACATAAGAGAGACCAAACTACTGATGTCTACTCCAACTTAGAACTGACGTATCACTTATACAATATTTTTATCACTTCTGTATTTTGGTTGTGCAACGTACGATGAATCCACAGCTTTTCGAGGCTTCTGACAGTAACTTATTAATATGAGGAACAAAGGGGAATACTACTTTCAAGTCAAAAGAAGTGTTAGAATGGGAGATATTTCACGGCTACACTCTTGGTGGTAGAAGAGACTACATTACATTCTGTTGTATTAAGTTGCAAGTTATTATTTAGAGACCAATCTTTGATTTGCTCCAAACTCCGCTGCAGAGTAAGGCAATGCTTTGAACATGGGATTTAAAAAAAAATGCGTCGTCCGTATATATCAAAAACGGACATCAACGTCTCTACCAATATCATTAACGAAAATGAGGAGTAATAATGGCCCCAATATTGAACCTTGAGGAACGCCCGAAGAAGTAATGTATTCATCGGAAATGTGACCATAGAAGTAGGGGTACTGAGTGCGGTTAGACAAGTATGAAGCGATTCGGAAAATCCAAGAGCACGAAGCTTGTAGATTAGAATTTTGTGATCTAGACGACCAAATTCCACCATTTGAGAACCTTCTTCAATAGCATCAGAAATGTACCGGAGACATAGTCGTTATATTGGTGATGGTGGCTCTTCCTTTAAAAAATAAATGTTTTTGAGGGACTATTTGGTTCTTGACAACATGAAATATTTTGTTCTATAAGAGAGATTCTAAAACTTTACAGAAATTGCAGATAAGGGGTTTGTGATTTGCGATCTGCAGTCTTTTTGTGTGCGGGAATAATTTTCGCTTAGTTTCTCAGACAAATATTACAAAGTATAACAAGCGGTTTAGCCAGAACAAAAAGACTTGTCTTGAATAAGGAATGCTGGAATTTAAATCTGGACCCATTTTAAATTTATATTTAATTACTTCAAGAGCTTTTGCCCCTCACATTCCGAGAACTTCTTATGTTTATATCTTCAGAGTCGTGCGAATCACTAATTACATTAAAATTGTTGAGAGAACACCAGTTAGAAAATGGCTGTCAAGAACATAGTGCATGTCATTAAGATAAATTGAACGCAGGGTGCAACGGAAATGTATTAGTTTAGTAGAACTGTAGCTTAAATCAAGACTGTACAACCGGGCCGAAGTGAAAAGTGTTAAAGAAATAATAGAAAAACAAAGACTTTGAACGACATAGGCGAAGTGTGTTGACAGAATACCAGGAGAATAAAACGCCGAACTTAATAAAGCAATGGAACATTTTAATTCAACATTCAAGTATACAATAAAAAAAGAACGTTCAACAAAAACGGACGAAAAAGACAAAATGTAACAAATATCTATCAAAACGTCTATAAAATATATATATAGAATTTCTGTTTTTCTTTTTTTGCGTCAACGCGTGACGGGAAAACTGCAAATAAATACGAAGTCTATATCCGTGTGTGGAGGCGACACGACGACCGTCCAATTCAATAGGCTATTAAAAATTGGCACAGTTTACAAATGAAAACTCAACTATTTAAGTCTCTGCGTGACGTTCGCCAGCGCGACCGCGAACGCCTGCAGAGCGGAGAACGGATACTGGAAATCCAAAGTATAAGCGTTGCCGTCGATTCTTCCGAACTGCATCACCTAAAACGATAATTTTTACATAAATAATAAATAACAATTAAAATTGAGTTCAAATAAACCGTTTTGAGGAAACTCCAAATCGTTTTAAAACCTCCACCATCCCAGATGGTGAGCTTAACTTTCAGTAGCCGAGTAAAAAAATTACATTTTTTTTACCAAATTCACAATTTTTACTCCTTTGCAATGTGTAAGGAATATACATAAGCCGAGTAGAAATTCGAGTAGTGCAAATAAAATTTAAATTTAAAGATTATATGAATCAATAGATGTTCGCATTTTCAAAAATGTTTCCTCTGATGAGCTCGGACATAGCAGTTGTATATCTTCTTCGTAAGAATGATCTTCAACGGGACTGTCCAACGTCTACTTCTACAGCAATATGAGTCACACCCTCATCCTCGAAGGATGCTGAATTCGAGCAAGATTGGCCTTTGCAGTTGAGGTATATTCTCGAAAAATGCATGCCTACTGTGATGGGGAGAAGGTCAAGATCCGTCCTCCTCCATCCCCTGCTCAGACGATCCTTTGGCCTACCATATCAGCCCTGGATTTGAAGGTACATCCGCAACGGGTGAATTTCGAAAATTGGCATTGTTAATGATCTGAGGTGAATAATAGAGGGCCGCCAAGAACCACTGACCTGCTGAAATGAGAAACTCAGGATCTGAATCTTCATGATGAAACATAATGTCGTCTTCTGTTCAAGAAGCTTGACCAACTTCAATTAATTACATGTAGGAACAGAATATTCTCTTTGGCAACGGACGAGAAGTTAAAGTACTTGGGGGGGTAAAAAGTGTTCGGAGAGGTTGGTTTTCCAGGTTTCATAACGTAATTGGAGAATGAATTTGATGCTTTCGCGGTTAATAGAATCCATAAATCAATAAATCAACTAAATGGCAGTGCTGGCAATAAGGGTATCAGAATCCCCAAGTTTTTTCGTTTGTAACATTCGGTTTGCGTTATTTTAGTTAACCGAATTTGTAATTTTATATATCAAAATATGTAGAATTTAGTCTGCAGAATTTTTGAATAGAATGACGTTTTCCGTCCGTAGCACAGATTTCCAACTGGAAGCAAAAAACTTAAGCAAACATTTGGCGGTTTATCGGCAACCAAAAGCTTTTAGGACAAAATAGAAGTTTTGATTTAATTTCCAGCTTGCAGGAAATTAATTCTTCGAAATATATTGATTTAATTGGCTTACATGTATTTTTCTCAGATAAAATTTCCTGCTAATTTAATTCAATAAAATTAATTAACAGCTTGAGCTTGTATTTAGCAAATGCTACTGTTACGCCTGCTGAAACTTGGTTAGACTTTTGTATAATTTTTTTTAGGTTGCAAATAACTTTGAAATTGTTAGCAATGTAAGAGCTAATCGAATTCATCATGGCCAATTTGTGCCAGGAAATATTAAGTGAGTTATAAAGCGTGCACTTAAAAGTATGTTCTCTGTTTTCTACCTATATTCACTACTTTTGAATCTGTTTTACAATAACTACAAGCAACCACGGCCTGTCTTGATTCTGAACAGGAGAGTCAAAATAGGCTTCACTGAAAATGTGAGATGCCTTTAATTGTAAAATTTATGTCTCGAACTTTAATGAATTGACCACATAAATAACAAAAAGCATCAGCATCATATTGACACGTTCGCGACGACATTTCAAGTTTTTCTAGACTTGTACAAAACACCTGATCATTGTTTATCACTCAAATGCCATCTAGCGGCACTATGTATTAAATTAACTAAAATTCACATCAAAAATTAAAAATGAGTCATTATAACTATGACAAAAGCAAAGTTTATATAAAAAAAGGGTATTTTCTCTTCGTTTTTGTGCTTAGTTAACCGAAAACGAAAATTCTCTTGTAGAGTCGTGTTATTAGAGCTATAAAAAAAAAAGAACATTTATTATTCAAATAGAAAATTGATATACACGGTGTCCAGTATAAGATGAAGTATATGGGTACAAGAGATACAGCGTTGTTTAAAAGGAAGAAGAGTACCGTATGTACTACCGTAATGTACCGTAATGTATATGCCAAAAAATAATCTAGCTTTGTTTTACTTTAAATCGATACATAGTGAAAAAGGAAAATGTCCATTTTTGCAAAGCCACAATAGTTTCCTTATTATAGGAGCCGAAATGGTCGGGCTTTAAAGTACAAGGATTCGACAATGCCAATATGGTGTCAATTTTTTTTTTGGCCTGCTATGTTGCGTACAGCGGAAGGCAACTTTTGTTTTTCTTATGAAGGCCATATTGAATTTTTCCATTACCTAAATGCTCTTTAAAAATGCTTTTCAATATATGTTACACATTTATATTTGGTCAAAATAATTTCGGAAAAATAACACCCTATTTTTCCGATCATAACTTAAATTCTAAGAGGATTGTACAAACAAACGTAACAAAAGACCTTATAAACCTTATAAACCTTTTACTAGCGGCTCTGCAACAAATGTTTTCCCCATAAAACTCCTTGACTTCTTTGTATGGGATCCACTCAAAAATCAAGTATACAGTAGGTCTTACGGAAACCTTGGAGAATTAAGAAAAGCTGTTGCAAAAGTTATTAACAATATCACTTCGCAAATGTTAAGACAGTCCTGCGAAGCAGTGTTGAGAAAATGTATGTTATGCGTACAACAAAACGGCGGGTTATTTCAACATTTACTCTAATTTTATTCTAAAATTCTGGGTATTTCCTTTTTCTTTTTGTGCGCTAAAGAAGTAAATAACACTTAATGGTAAACGTCATTTAAAATTGAATAGCAATATCGAAGTCTAATACAATAAAATTCTATTTTTGTTTTTCCCAATTTATCTTGACCAAACATAAATATGTTACACATCGTTGGAAAGCATTTTAAAAGACGACTTCGAAAAAGTAGACAGTCAATATGGCGCCCATAAGAAAAACAAATATTGACTTCGGCCGCACGCAACATAGCAAGCCTAAATTTTTTAACGCCATTTATATATTTATATATATTCTGAAAATTTGAACAGTTCGGCTAACATAATAAGGAAAATATTGTGATCTCCGTAAGGGTATCGATTTAAAGGAAACCAAGCTAGATTATTTTTTGGCATATACATAAAATAATTTTCTTCTATTTAAGCGACGCTGTGTCTGCCTGTGTATACGGTTTCCAATATCCCTATGTACATCATCTATACTTTAACATATCTCACTTGATACATTCATGTCTCTGTAATTTGAAAGTTATTTTTTGACATGGTTATCGCTTGGCTTGTAATTTCATCGACAGGCCAAGCGAAATATTCACCTGTTTTCCTCGAAACTCTATCTGGAAATTTTTGGCCGACTCCTGCGTTACGCGACCTCCAAAGTCCAGCTGGTACACCTGACTGTTCTCGTTCCACATCGGCGCCTTGTTGTGCATTACGAACTCCCTCCGTTGCGGAATGTTTTGGTTATTGCAACAACTACCTCCGTTCGGCTCGATCTTCCCCCTCTTTAACTATAACAATCGCGCAAACTTAAACTCAACGTCTCCGCGCCGTCGCTACCCACCTTTTGCCTCAACTGGCTCTTCTGGAACGTTTCCAAGTCCCTGTAGTTGGTACCGTTGAATATCTCGTCACCGGACGCGTTCACCTCGTCGTCGGAACTCTCCTGGTTCCTGCTCTTTCTGTATCTCCTGCCCAAAAGTGGCGAGTTTAGCAGTCTCCTACGGATAGGAGACGCGGACTGAGGTCTGGCATCTTTTTTACTAGGCGCAGGCGATGACGGCGAACTCCTGGGCAGCCTCGGAGACGCGGGCGGCGTCGGTCTACTCCCGTCGTCCTCTCTTAACCTGGTGATCAGCTTCTCTAGATTGGCCAAAGCCTGAGTGTGAATAGGAACACCGTTTCGTTCCGAATCGCCATCTTCCCCCCGTTTCCCCTTATCTCGCGCTTTCTTATTCTTCCTGCGCATGAGGGGCGAAGAGAAAAAATCCCTGGCAATGTTCTTCATATTGTTCGGTTCTACATTCTTCGCGGGAATCGTCTCCGCCTGTTCGGGAATCTTCTCCTCTTTCGCGACGAAGCTGACGTCCTGGTTCGGGAAAATGTCGCTCGAATCCAGACTCTTCGACTTGCCGAAGTTATTTAAGCCGGAGCGCGTCTTCGCGTTGGTCTTGGAGCGCAGCCTACTCTGCCGCCTTTTTTGATAATTTCTTTCACTGTTCACCAACACCAACCGTTTAGGAATCTCTTTTCTGAGCATACTGAGCCGGACGTCGCCAGGCACCAGCTGCGCGTCCACCATGTCCAAGTATCCGACGCTACAACTCCTGATCATAGGCTCCACGAAAATAGGCGCGGCCGAACATTTGGAAGTCGACGGTATCGCCTCCTCCGACACTTCTTTACCATTGCCTTCCCCGACGACCACAGCTTTATGCTTCGAAGAAGCCTCGTCGCTCTTCCTTATGACTATGGGTTTGTGCTGGTCATTGTTAATATTAAAAGCAACGGAGATGTCGTTCCTCGAATGCTCGAAGTTCGGCTTGACCTGCAGCGAACAATTGCTGTTGGTGGAGTAGGAGATAATGGTCGGAGCCGACGGTCTATCGAAAATAATATCACTGGGAGCCACGGCGTTCTTGGGTGACTGCAAGGCCGGTACGGCTACCTCGCAGCAGATGGGCGAGATGGCGTGCTTTTGATTCTGCCCCGCGGATTTTCCGTACTGTCCGATGAAGCTTGTCGAGTTTTGGCTACACGTTGGACGCAATAAATTCTGCGGACGGACTAAGTTTTTATCTTCAATTTCGACAAAAGGGCACTTGGCGTCCTCTTGGTTTTCGTAAGACTTTTGGCGATTCATTGCGCTCGTTCTAGGCGACATTGGCGCTATGGGTGGGCAATTCTCCATGTTGAGTCGCGGCGCCTTGTGGCTGTTCAGCTGCGGCTCCTCCTCGTCTTCGGAGAACAGGTTGGGGTTGAACGTGGGATCGGGGCCTACGGGAAAGTCATCTCTCAGCTCGGTGATGACCAGAGTCATCTGACGCGGTTGCAGGTGCAGCAACGACGTCTTGTAGGTGACCTGACCTAGATTGGCGGGTACCACGTTCGCGAGGCCATGGATCTTGAACTTGGTACCCCAGATGTTGGAAGTGACTTCCACTAGACGCACTTGCTAAAGAATGCCACAATGGAAAAACTTTTTAAAAAAATACAAGAAACTTACTTCGGGCAATGTGTCCACGTAAGATAGGTCGTCCTGTTCAGCTTCCGGCTCGGCTCTTTGATACAAAGGCCGTTCGAGGTTCGGATACTTCTGCTTCTTCTTCTTTCTCCTAGGTAGTCTAGGAGAACCAGTACACCCGTCTTCCCGGTCGGAATCTGAGGATTCGCTGTTGCCCATAGTATTAGCCGTAGAGTTACTAGAGCTGGAGGAACTCTTTGAGTCGTTCGAGGACAGGTGCAGTTGATAATCTGTAAAGAAACGTTTGGAGAATGATTCGAACGCACCGAAACGTTTTACCTTCCCCCTGAGGATCGAAAATGACGAATTCCGGTCTGATTTTGCTGGTCCTTTTTCCTTTCAATAAAGGAACCAATCCTCCAAGGTATTCGAGGTAGAGGGTGTAGCACGTGCCCGATGATAAATTGCTCTCTTCGTCGTGTCTGATCATCGTGCAGTGTAGTCTGACAGACCCAACTGGAGGCCGCGACACAAATTCTCTGAGAGCACTTGGCTCGGGAACGCAACACTAAGCATACAACAAAGAATTGCTTAAGGGCCTTGTTATTCGCAAAACGACCTGCACTTACCCTTATCGTCTGAGCAAACAAATTCCCGATAATATTCCTGAGTCTAATGGGCAGAGGTAAGCCGGATAGCATGGACTCTGTGGGCAGCAAATTGTAGATTCTAAGTCGGCAGAGTAGCTGAAGCGATGCGATCCTCTTTGCGACCCATGCGATATGTATCTGAGTGCCGGTGGCTAGGAATAAGCGTTTATCATTGTGGCCCCATGTCAAAGTTGAAACTCTCGCCTAGGAAAAGAGATAATAAGTCCTCAGCACTTTGGTATTCAAGTCTTCGTACTTGCGTATCGGGCACTTGCGTCTGATATAGCAAAACCCCCTTCTCGTTATAAAATTTCAACATGTTGGTGTACTCCATTTGAGGTCCGAGCGTTGGAGATTTTAATGTGATACCCGATACCGCCAGCAGTTCCCTCGAATTGCTCCACTCCATACACAGAGGACCCTGCAGGTCAGTGTTGATTTGGATAGGTGCCACGTCGTCGAAAGTGCCGAGCAGATAGATGTATCCGTTCTGAAGCGAGACGGCCAATACGAACTTTTTGTCTCCTGCGAAATATTTTCCTAAAATGAGCTCCATCGCATATCTAGAAGCGTCGAAACGACCACATCACTCCAGTAGCGTCAAATACCTGGATCACCCAAAAACCTCCTACTTCTAACGGTACCTGAACTAGTGGCGGCTGCTGCAGCGATCGTTTCGGGTTCATCTCCTTCCTCCATCTTGAATTTCTCGCATGACCACGCCATCGACGTGATGCCGACGTCACCACTCAGGTGGATGTGCGATACCATCGCACCGTGGACGTCCATGACTATGATCTCCCCCGAAGTGGTGCCGAAGTAGACCTGTTGGTCATCTGGAGTCCATATACCGCACGTTATGGTAGCGTCGAGGTTGAGCATCGACGACCAGTACCTTTGACCGGCCACCGAACCCACCAGAACAAACCCATCCTATAACAAGCGGGAGTGAGGAGATACCTTCTGAGCTAGGACCACGTACTTGGTAGCAAATCAGAGCCATACGTCCGTCGTGAGACCAAGAGAAATGGGTTACTGGGGTGTTCCTGTCGTTTATTAACTCAATGGACCAGCGACCCTCGTACTTGATCCATACGAAAATTATACCCGAGCTGTCGCATGACGCAAGCTTTTGGTAAGGCTCGTTCCACTTAACCAGAATGACCTAGGATAAAAGATGAATATTTGTTAACTGTGAACTAACCAAATACTGACTCTTTTAAGTATTTATTTACGAGGGCTAAATCGCAGATGAATATTGGTATGCCCGCAGTGTGAAGAAACGCTAACCAATTGTATAGGAATTCTCTTCAAGGAATTATAAGCATAGAAGCCGATGTGGTACAAGCTTTTAAGTAGATTACTCAGTATTTAGCAAAAATTAAGTGAACGGCGAGACAATGAACTGCACAGAGTGTTCGAAATACGTCGTCATTGCAGAATATCTCGGTTAGTATAACGAATAATGCCGTCAACAGAATTTTCTTATCCCACTAAGTCCCTGAGTCACAGGGCAATTTTGAAAATTTCGTGATTTGCGGCACCTTTCGTATCTCTGCTAAAATTTATGTTACGGGAAAAATAAAAATTACGTCTAAAGAGATACTATGTACCAAAATTCTGCGTCGGTTGTTATTGAATTGAACTTGCTGACGTTTCGCCAATGATCCAATCATCCGATGGGCTTCTTCAGAGCTTGAATGAAACCGGCTCGCATTCTACTCTGACCAAAACTATCAGTCTTAATCTTTTGATAGGGAATATGTTGGAGAAACAATGGTGCTGGCAATAGGTCGAAGGAGTAATCCTATAATCTTAGGGAGTCCGTAGGGACGAGGAATTTTAGACTTATGACAAACTTTTTCACATATTTCGATATAAAAGAAGCCTTAATAAAATATTTAAGTTGGCGATAGGATTTGATAAGTATATCTTTAATCTTTTCGTGATATTCATTTGTGTTTAGAGCACCGTAACATTTCCTATATCTGCTTTTAGAATTGCGATGTTGGGATTTAGGGCAATGCGTTGAGGTTTTGGAATACTACATTTAGGAGGTTTTGATTTTTTTAGAATTTATGAGATTCATATCGAATTTTATTAGCTGTTTGAGATGGCATTTTGTTTAGGATAGACTCGATATATGAAATGATTTCCTCTTTTGCGATAATACGTGACACAGAGACGAGGTTGGAACCTTTTGCAAGAACTGATTTTTCAGTGTCAGAAGTTGATGCGATGATATATTTATGAGTGTTGGATAATTGACAAGACTTTCATGATTTCACTAGTGTTGACATCAGTTTTTTTAAATTTTTGAATGTGAATTGAATTAGTCATCTGAGTAGATCCTCCACAGCAACAAGGCACATTTGGCTTTAGTATTTCATGTTTTATATTAGGAATTAAGAGGAAATTTTGTATATACGCAGGTAGCAGATAGATATCTAGGAGTATATGTAATAATTAAAATATATAAATAAATAATATATATAACTACAACTGACTAATTCTTGAATATATAAAAAAATATTTAATAACAATAATAATACATTTCTATTTCATGGCCTACTATTAGAAGTCATATTAATATATTACGATATTGACTACAGACCTGAATTAAAAACATATGATAAAGTATTATATATATTCGGAACGCCCTCGACGGATACGGATAACGTAAAACTATACATGGGGTCCCATTTAAAAATCTACAGCTTTTGTCACAATTCAATTTTTTTTTAAATCGGAAAAAAACTAGCTCCTCCATTGACGTCCATTAACGGAGATACAAGGAGTGCCGAAAATCGCGAATTTTTCTTAATGATCATGTAACTCAGAAACGCAATCGGATAAGAAAATTCTGTTAACCGCGTCTTTCACTTCACGAAAAAGTATCACCATGACCAGCAAACCACGAGCCTCTAGTTTTACTTTTAACCGAGATATCCCGCAATTCGGACACTCTGCACAGGAGTTAAAAGAAACATAGAGCGAACAAAGTGCAGAGTCGATAAGGTTAGGTACAAAGAAAATACCAAAACAAGTATGAAATCGCATTATAAAAGTGGAAGTGACTATTGAAATGAGTTAACAACATTTTGACACTCTCAATTCGATTCACACATTATTGAGGAGTACTCCAAAACACTTCTTACGGTGCTGCAGTAAAATGTAATTAAAGTGGAGTTCTTCAAACCCAGTATTTCACGAGAAGTTTATTATAAGAACATTTTTGTGACTTTTTTTTTTATTTTTTTTTACTAAAAGGGAACTAACAATAGCAAAAATATTTCAATTGTTCATATGTAACTTATAGAATATTCATAATGATGTATAGTATATGTTTATTGCGTAGATAAAATAATTATACAATAAAAATAATACTTTACATTTGAAATACATTTACGCAAATAAAAAAATTTAAATTCTCCCTTATATCCTTCAGTTATGTGTGATTACATTTCATGAGTTTATGAAGCTAATAAATGTTTACAGAAATTTGTACATAATTCGATAATATAAAATTTAAAAAAAAAACAAAATTGCTTTAAATTTCACATTAAAAACAAACAAATCTTACACTTTCCATTTTTTTAACTTTTTTTTTATATTCTAATATTTCGTTTACTTTTTTATCTTGACGCATTTATATTTATTAAGTTATTTATTACTACAAAGCTCACAAATGAAATATATTTTTGGGTTATGTTGATAATATGAATTTCCGAAATGTGTAAGATCTTCGGCCTATTGGCGTGTTACATTTATGTGTTGTAACATTTCCCTTCTCTCTACTTCCGTTGTATTGTAAGAATGATTTATATTTTGTAGTCCCGGTTTGTTTTTGAAAATGTTTGCAACCGTTTTTTGAAAATCAACAGCAGAAGAGTAATTTCTAGTTTTTTGAAAGCATGATCTTAGAACATATGTCCCTGTGTAATGTGTTAATATTTGGTGTTTATTTAAAATTGTTTCTAAAATATTTGAACCCGAAATTACTAATCTTTGTAAATATTTATTCCATTTTAATTGTGCATCCAATGTTATAGCATTTAATATTATCTGTCGACTTTATCGAATCATTTATTTGTTTGAATAGAAGTGTTAAAATTCGGTGAACCTTGTTGATAGCACGAAAATCGTATAAAAACCGTTTTTTCTTCATTCACCGTAGGCGACATTTTTTTGAAACAGCTCAAGTAGTTAATGAAGTCATTTTCCACATTGGTTTTAAGAATATCCCACTAGTCGACTTCCTATAAGAACACTTGGTCATCCGCAAAACTAAGGATTGTTCCTACTATAAATTATTTAAAGAATAGAAGAATATTGGCTCTAAAACGGATCCCATGGGAGACGCCATAGGGAATGATTTTTTTTAATTCTATGATTAATTTCTGTTTTCTGTGTACTTTCCGTAAGATAACTTTTTAATATTTTCCAAGGTATTCCGCCAGAATACTTCAAGAAGTCCAACACCAGTTTATGATCAACGGTGTCGAAGATCTTGGAAAGATCGAATATATCTAAAAGCGAATTAACAACAGCATAAATCTTCAGATTATTAGCATACAATGAATACACACTGTAAGTTATATGTTGTTGTACGGGTATGGCCAATATAGCCTAACTAGTATTTCTAATACTAATCGTTTATGATATCTACAAAATTCATATCTCAAGAATTTTGGATATATTTTTTAATTGGTTTGCAAATTCTTTTAAAAATTGCTATTCAAATCCTGAGAGAAATGTTTCTAAAATATGATTGACAATTTGTCTTAGTAAACCGGCTTTAAATAGTTTTTAACAAAGGCGTCGATGGGTTTTGACTGCTCGGTCAAAATTATCTTTTCCTACCTGCCGAAATCTGCTCACTTTCTGACTTTTCTTGTCGATTTTGATTAAGTTTCAGTCAAAAATGCTTTTTTTTTCTCTTATTGCAGCAAATATATATTAAACATGCGGATTTCTTCCCCTTCCCTTCTTTCAGAGACAAATGGTTGGTTTCTCTTCTTGATTTCGAACAGACTACAGTCCAAAACGGATTTTATGCCTCATGGTGTTATGAAAACCGCATCAATCCCCAAGATCAAATTTCAAAACTTATTAAACTAACATCATGCGTCAAGTCAACCTCTTAAAAATTTAACTCGCAGTGTTTTGCTCGTCTATCTTTTGTCCTGCAATACATAAAACATTACTTACATAACTTTGTATGTTTTATGTTATTTTTGTTCCTTTCGTTTCTAGTGTTGCATACTCAGTTTGTACATAAATAAATAAATAAATAAACACACTTTTTTTTAAACAAACTTACACAGGTTACTGCAAAACTATATATTTACAAATCTTCTTGATCCGACGTTGCTGACGTTTCGCCAATCATCTCATTGCCGTTTTCAGTTATAATACAGTATAAAATACATCAATAGAATACGTTTACTTTCATCTACAACGATATACATTGCATAGGAAAAGTCACTCTTAATTCTAACCTAACACAAAACACAAAAAAGATGCACCGGCTCTATGATGCAATTTATAAATAATGTTCTAGAATTTCGAAAGTTTTTGCTAATAAAAAAATGTTTCTAACATAACTTTGCAAAGCGTTAAAGATTTACACATCTGTATGTTATTTGGCAAATTATTAAAAAGAAATTTGCAAATATTTGTGAGAAGGTTAAAACTACTACTAGTATTGAAATTATGCATGTCAATTTTTCAAGTTTCACACATAAAGAAGAGCGCTACAGTTAAAATATTATTTTTTTTTTAATAGTCTCTACAACTATGAGTTTTTGTTTTCCAGCAAGATAACGTATATACCTTCTTTGCGAAATAAAAACATCTGTGGCGAGGGTTGACCAACCTCAGAAACAGACGCTGTATCATATTATGTATTCACAGTGTGTTTTCGACTTAAGATTTTTATCAATATTATACGCCAAGACATTCTATATTGTCGCCAAAAGAAATCGTTTCGTTGTCCAATTCAATTTTATTTTATTTTCAACTTTGGATTTATGTCCTTTTTTAAATATGGGAATAACTTTACCGATCTATACTCTGCGTGGGAACTGACCACAATCTAATGGGGTCTTCGCAAAATAAGTTAATAACACGTTTGAATAAAAAGTTTAGAAGTTCACCAAAACC